GGGGGGGGGGTGCGTAATCGCTAAAGCGGGGCGGACCAAACCACTAGCGGGACGACGAAGTCGTTAGAGCTCTTGACCCGTGGAAGGCGAAATCACGAGGGGGAGGGGAGTGGTCGATGTGTCACCGGTACCAGGAGGAGTCGGTACCGCCCCTCGTCCCGGATAGAAGGTCGATAGAAGGTTGGTATGCCCTGGTGTAGATATCCTCTTTCACTCCTCTCGCAAAGTCACTTTACTGATAGATACAAAAATCACGTGTCTACAACACTCGGGTCAGAAAGCTGATAAAAACCGGGGGCGAGTCGGTCGAAAATTTCGGTGTCAATTTTCTTGTTCTCATTATGTACTTTACTAACTCAGATTGACTTTCATATTGTTTTTCATAAAATGACAACTGCACATGGCACAACGTATGGCATAGTAGTAGTAGTACAAAAAATAAGTATAGAATAAGATATAAGACCTAATATGGAATAAAATCTAATAAATCCTAATTACTCAAACAATAAGGGCCAGCACAAGTATGTCTTTGATGAAATTTCGGTATTTTTTTTCCTGATAACAAAGCTGTCTTTTGTGTACCTACTTTTTGCATTGTGAGAATTATTACATGTAAAGATATATTCAAATCCGTCTCTGGCATCGGGACTCTTGAAATCTGTTGTGCTTCGAGAAATGTAAATGGATCATTACGTAAAACATTATATTTTAAATTAGTGCATTCCATAACAAAGTGATATCTATCTTCAATTTGCTTTGTACAAAATGGGCAGAAATTTGATGGTCAGGGGCTACATTATGATATTTACCTGTTTCTATATTACTACACTTCATACTACTGAAATCATCACCGTTATACAGCGTCCTGTTCTGGCCGGTTCCGGACCCCCGTGCACGGTTCCTGCCAGGCCAGCCCTGACTGTGACGTGCTGTATGAGGGGGACACGGCCGTGTACGGTTGCTACCCGGGGTACGTGCTTGTCGGACAACATGTCCACACCTGCACGGCAAACGGCTGGGACGCTGAACCCATACAGTGCGTGCCGGGTAAGTACACGTCATCATCATCTGGTCATGAGAGTTTCACGGATTCTTGTGACTCTCCCTATCCTCCATAGCCCTGGGCAGGTCTTCCGGTCTGCAGCCCGCAACCTCACACAGTTGATGTATTTAGGTTGTGCAGGGTCTGCCTACACTAGCAAGCCCATGTTTGGGTGCCCAGAGAAGGACGTCACTAACAATCTCTTCCTTACTCCTCCAAGAATGCCCAGCAAAACGAAGTCTCCTCTCACGGATGACTTGAGATATGGGGAGAGGTACATCTATAATTGTATATTACTCATTGTGTGGATATTGCCCAATGAATGCAGTGGAAAATGAAATACATTTTAGTAGTCAGCGTCCTCACTATGAGACCGACAGAAACACATTATTTGAAACAGTTTTACCATCAGAAAACTAAATCCGTCTACAAATACAGAAGAGAGAAGAAGCATGTAAATCATAAGTATAATATATAATATAAAAGATACCATAGTTTTCCCGTTACTCTCTTGTGAATGAATGAATGAATGAATAAATGAATGAATAACTCACATGTAGCTTGTAGCTAACTTACCGCATTTAGACCCAATGGTACGAACATACAATGTACTAACAATCTGTGGCAGGCGGAACATCAACAGACACCAATTATGCAAACTATGACCTAATTTGCATAATTCATGTAAAAATTCTTTGACTCCTTATTGTTGAATGATGGGAATTGTACATTGTAACATGTGTAGGTTTCTTAAAGGTTAACACCACGATGTATATATTATGTTAATGTAGAGGTCATTTGCATAATTAATGAGGACATGTTGAAATGTATGACAAAGGGGAGGAATTTTACACGAAAAATATTGTCATTTGAATTTAGAGAACCATAAATTAAACTAGATTATGCTAATTACGACCTTATTTCAATAGTCAATGAGAAAAATAAAAAAAACATTTACAAAACTCATATATTTCATGCATGGAGGTATGAGACCTCCGAATTCTTGTTGTGTTTGTTTTAGAGTTGACTTTCCAGCTGCAGCACGGCCTGAGGCCGCATGTAGACGGAGACGTGATAGAGGTGTACACTGGAGCGGACCTGGTGTTGGACTGTACACTGACGTCTGAGGGGAACCTGCGCATCCTGGAACTCTCATGGAGGTGGCAACCATGGAACAGCCAAGCCAGCTCTAGCAACCACAGGTCCTGTACTTACTTTAAAGTGCTCATGACACCAAAATATGACCTTATGTGATTGTAGTTGACATATTGCCGACAGACACATTTACAATAAATATGAACGGTTCTCCTGTTAGAATGAGTGTGATGCATACCGGTTCACTGGACTTGGATCCGGACTTGTAAGAATGTTTAGGTTCAAGTCCAAAAAAACCTAAAAGTCAAGAACCGAGTCCGGACTTATTACCATAAAAGACTTTCCAAACCACCTAAAACCTTCCGTAGATTGCAAACTCTTTGCTGCAAACTGAAGAAAACATTGCCATCGGGCATCGTCAAGTACCGGCCTCCATGTTATGTGGCCAAAGTTTCACCCAGACAACATTGCAAGGTTGCCAACATGCAATTTTGTATATGCCATGGGTTTAGGTCCGGACTTACATATCCGGAACTGAACCTAAACCTCTGGACTTGAATCCGGACCTGAACCTAAAATTGGGTTTAGGTATGCAACACTCTGTAACACTTTATATTTGGATTTTGGTATTTTTTTCCTGAGCTGATGTCACCTTGTGATGTTAGCCAGGAAAAAGCACAGAAATGCAAAAATAAAAACAGAGATTCAAATAGAGATGCCTGAGGCGGGCGATTGGGAACCTTGCTGGATAGTCTCCAAAAATTCACTTTCAAAAGGCCGTACAAACTCAATTTCTTAGTCATCATGATTGGAACAAACTTCAAGTGACTTTATTTTATGCAGACTTTCGATATTTGTATGTATTTTACAGACTTTTTTTGGTGTCATTTGGTCTTTGATAGATCACGATATGTATGGTAACGAGATGAATGGTAACGAGAATCAATGGAAAAACTCATGCACTTGCAGAAATAGGTTTTAGGGGGCCACACTTATGTCACTATTTTGTCAGCCCAAGAGCTACCTATACTACCTTGTTTTTTTGTTTGTCTGTTTGTTTGTTTGTTAATCTAAATGCAACAGTCCATAACACGTGGCAACCAGGCACCTTTTCAGTTTAGTGACCTTGCCATCTTCAGATCAAAAGATACAAGGTTCCACTGCAGTGTCATAACAATACGCTAGGAGGCCCATTTCTTTTGCCGACATTTACCCACATACAAGACATCATGACAGTCAAATTTGACCCCCCGAACACGCCCCAAATACTGCTGACCTACTCACGGACACCTGCCAACTAAAAGCCGAACAGGCCCTAACCTCCCGTCCACACCAGAATGTTATTAACATTCAGCCGGCGCAGCAGAACAATAGCCAACCTCAGTCACCTTGCTCCCGACATTATGTTTCGGGAGAGTTCGGCAGTGTTCGGGTGGCCATATTCGGCTATGTGTAACAGGGGCTTAATGAATGCACAGCTTTATGAAAGGCGTCATCACATGCACTGTCCACTTTCAAAATACATGTACCTTTAATGCTCAACTACTTTCACATTGATATGTTTAGCACCTCGATGGGCTTTTTTGATCAGTACTTCGTGGATGACGGGAATCAAAAGCGTCTGTTCCTCCCGTCCATCTCCAAACAGCACGCCGGGAACTACACCTGCCAGGCAGGCAGCCCGGACCACCAGGGGGTCGCTGTGGAGGTGCGGGTTCTCAGTAAGTTGGTCTGGATTTATGATAGCATATGGCGAGGCGTCGGTGCAATGGTTAGAGCGTTGGACTCGGAACCAATGGATCCCGGGTTCGATACTCACCTTGGCCCGACATTCTGCCCTTTGGAAAGGCACTTTACACGACTTCACCACCTGTACGGTGGAGTGACGCCCACCGAGCCTCTTAGGCTAATCCGTCTAACAGTGTGCCAAAAAGACCCTACGGATTTGGTGCGCCAATGTGTCAACATCAGCTCACCAAGAGCCGTTAATTTTCTTTTATGATAGCATGTACGGACTGGACTGTAGTATTCCAAAACGTTATTCCGTTTTGGAATGGACCACGTTATGGAACACAACATTCCACTTCGTTGCTTTCCAAATCATGGCGCAGCTGGACCATGATTTGGAATATTCCATAACGTGGCCGACTACGCTTATCTAGAGTATTGCATACATTGGATCATCAGGGACTCTGTCTTATGCCTACCAAGTAAGCCTTGTTTGTCTGCGTGTCTAGATCTGCTTAGAGTTTTCTGTATGAGTATGTGTTTAGATTAGGGTTAAGGTTATAACTAAGACATGAAAGTCATGTTTTGGAATGGATTACGTTTTTTTGGAACACCACATTCGTGTCATTCCCAAGCATATTTTGGAATGGACCGCGTTTGGAAATGCAGATACATCCCATTTCGAATTAGTATTATCTTTTGGAATGACCGCAACGACCGGAACGCATTTACGAGACGGAAATGCGCGTCGGTGACGGTCTGTCTGTCTGTCTGTACAGATTCGTGCAGCCGGCTTCTGCCGCCTCAAAACGGGACTGTGACGAGCTGGAGTCACACGGTGGGGAGTCAGGTGACCTACTCGTGCCATGAGCAGTACCGACTGGTGGGGAACAGCACCAGACAGTGTCAGGCCACAGGAGAATGGACAGGAGAACAGCCAACTTGTCAAGGTAACATTTACTTGTATCTGTTATCATTTGAATCGACTGAATGACTAGCCTGGTATCTTATCGTGCCTTGGGCTGGTTTTCCTCGGGGCTGGAGGAGGTCTTTTCCGCCCGCTTCAGCTACTTTTCCCGGGAGATATTTCATGTTGAGAGATTGATTAGCTCCACCACGTGGTGGGGAAAATCACCTCCCCCGGCGTGCCATCTCTATTAGCGTAACACTCCTACCGGACCCCCTGTTGTTCTAGGCGGGGGAAAACTATTAGAGCCTGCCCTAACTACTATGCCCCAACCACGACAAGACGATAAGATGGATACCAGGCTACTGAATAACACGGTGTACATACACATATCCCGAAATGAGTTTTCTATTTGAATGTCTACATTTCATCCTAATTTCTCTAAACTTACAGAGCCCAAAATGTACATTTGTTGTCTGAAAAAAAACAATAAAATAATTTTATTTGGCCTTTATCAAAAATAAGATAGAAATAACATGGATATTTGCCAAACTATCTCCATTAATAAAAAAAAGATGAGTCGTTTAACGAAATGGTAGAATAAGGAGGAGGAGGAGGAAAAGAAACACGGAGGAAAGCAGTATATTTCACTCCCATGGTTATTGAGTCTCTGTTGTATGGAGTGAAATATGATTTTTATAACCTACGCGTGTCTTACATCCCAGTGTACAGGTGCAGTGAGGTGAGTGCCCCTGCACACGGCGGGATGACTCCTACGTCTTTCCTGCTGGGGACCGAAGTCTCATTCTGGTGTGAGAACGGTTATAACCTCAGCTCAGACGCGGACCTGGTGTGTAAAGATGACGGTACCTGGAGCAGCAATGTTCCGGACTGTATCAGTATGTACTTTCCCTACGTATACATTGTAGATTATAGGCATCCTATGCAATTTCAGGGTGGAAGACAAAAATAAAATATTCTGGAAGAGGTAATCTGTATGATATTGATACTTACTGCCACTTCTCAAAAACACCTTCGTCATCGTTTCATACTTGCTTTTGAAATAGCCCCCAAACAAGCTACGTGAGGCATTTTGTTTATTTTGGGGTACCAACCACAAATACCTAGAACCAGCCTACGGTGTATACAAAGCATCGTATGTGTGCCTCACAGGTACCAGTATGCAATGGGATAGGATAGTTTCAACTCTTTTTATTAAAATAATAATAAAAAAAAATTGACCTTGAAAATCCAGTTTTGCCGCCCCGACGTAGCATCGACGTAGCTTTAAACACAATGTAAAGAGGGCTTTATGCTCTACATTTACAAACAAAATCCCAAACCAACACTAGAAAAACATGCTGGCAAGGGTTTCATGGACATATGACCGTAACTGGAGATATATAAGAATAACCGGAATAAATTATTTGCAAGCTAATACATCACGTATATTGTCTCTAATATGTACGAATATATTTTCATGTTAATGACAAAATCAGCTGGCAATGGAAGGGCATGTACAATAAAAAACAGCATACTTGGGCTACAGACAATTTTCCCAAACCCTGCTCCTCGTATTTAATGAATGAATGAATGAATGAATGAATGAATGAATGAATGAATGAATGAATGAATGAATGAATGAATGAATGAATGAATGAATGAATGAATGAATGAATGAATGAATGAATACATTTATTGTACACACATACCCACTGGGTTACGTACAGGTCACAACAAAAGAATGGGATACAGATAACGTTACATATATACATCGTCAAGTAACTACAATTAAGCAAATTGAGTCAGTTATTCAAGCTTGATGTTCCTGACTTAGGGAGAAGAGATGTTGCATCAGTGAGCGTTATTTCTGGGCAACGAAATGGTCAGTATTGCCTTGCACGGCCAAGTAAACTCGTTAAAAATTAATTTCCTGATTTCCTTATCCAAGGTCACTGTGAAAATCACGCCTGTGGGAAAGGGGAGAAATGTGTTCTTGATGACGGGACGCCGACCTGTGTCTGTAAGACAGCTGCAGACTGCTCGGTGGGACCAGAACCAGTCTGTGGCTCAGACGCGGAGTCGTATGGAAATGAATGTCAGATGGAAGTCACATCCTGCTCAACGGGTCAGGACATCGGAGTGGTTCATACAGGCTTCTGTGAAAAAGGTAGAAGCAATACATTACTACATACATTTAAAAAAAAACACGAAATGTTTTAAGTATTACATCACATGCTGGTTCCATTTCTTCAAAATACAAAGCAACGAAATTAAATTCGTAGAATGAAATCCTACACGGCATGAACACTTCATATCAGACACCTCTGTTTTCATCATTGATTCTTATCCTCATCTCTGCAATATGGTGTCACGTAAGGTACATTGTAATTTCCAACACAAGAAGTTTTCGACTCTACAACTCCAGTCTTTGTCGAGGAATAAGCAATCCATCGCTTCTTTGACGGCATGTTATGCAGATGACACACGTGCAGAAGTCTGTGGCACCCCCCGTCTTTGTTGAGAGATGTTGTAATTATCTGATGTAGATGACCTCTTTAACTCTTGTCCTGCTGGCATTCCTGGCACAATATTTTTCAATAATTTTATGTCTTAATTAGATCATAGACCCCCAATTTTTTTTGCCCTGCAGTGGCATAGTTACTTCTGCATTCGTTGCGTTTCGCTGCGGTGTGATGCGTTGCACGAGAAATACCCCCAAATCGTACCTATACAGGGTGTTATATAGATGGTACTGTATGTGCCGCGCGACATATGTTGCGCACAGCAGGACAAGGGTTTTAATACCTCGTGCAAAAGAAGTCTCAAAGAGGCCAGTTTCTTGTTTGGAATTTTTTTGTTTACCTTTATTTAACCTCGAAAACTACACTTCCGCCGTGACCGCTTCTCAAGCGTTCAATGGAGAGGTTTGCTTCATAATGATCTCATAATGCTAACTGCTGCTACCACCGTGCCTGGTCTTGCAGCCGGTCTATGCTATGATACACCAGTAGCCGTTCCAGATGATGACCTGACACAATGCACCCATCAGTACTACATGGACAATGATAAAGCCAGCTGCGAGCTCGTTCCTGCTGGACTGTGCATGACAGGACCTCAGGGGTTTGACTCTCAGGACCAGTGTGATGCTGCCTGTGACGGTAAGACTTCCGTTTTGGAGCTTGTAATAGAAAAAAAGTAAGCCATGCATGACCCGTTGCGAAATGTGCACTTTATATTGCATTTTCTAAGGTACATACTATACACAAGCGACTTGACGACAATGCGCATCATATTTGATAGGAGTGGCCTGATATGAATGGTGTCTAGGATTGATTCTGTGTATAGTCAGACAAACTGGTAAGAAAGCCGAATTAGGGATTTTTGGAGCTGGGAAGAGATAGTACAAAACCTTAAAGACTTCCACTGCAATGTCACGGGAAAAATATTCTGGATGAGGAAATTTGTCTGATATTGACATCACTGTCATTTAAATGCCACCGCCATGCCTTAGCACCTTTTCGTCATCATTCAATACTAGAAGCGTTCAAAATAGCCCCAAAACAAGCTATGTGAGGGATCTATTTATTTTAATGGTCAGCCTGTCGCATCTTTGGCTCACAGATATTAGTATGCTTTGGAATAGGACTACATTAGGATAATGACCAGAGAATTGACTTTAAAAATCCAGTTTGCCACCCTGATACTGTATTGGATGCCTTTAACAACACAGCATCCTTAGATTGCAAATTGTGTCATTGAACAATTCAGATTGTATCAAATTGTTCCCCGATTGATGATATTACTGCAGCATCTGTAGTGTGCAGCCTGCCTACTGCAGTCCCTGGAAACTGCAGTCTCGGTCTTGCCCGCTGGACCTACCATCCCGACAGTGGGGAATGTCTACCGTTCGTCTACACGGGTTGTGGGGGCAACGAAAACAACTTCCTGTCCAGGGATCAGTGTCTACAGACGTGCCCAGGTAAATGGGTATATGTCTGGGTAAGAATCTGGTAGAATGGATAGATATCCCCGTTGGCAGTTTGAGTCTCTGTTAACAGAAACTCCAATCGAAGTCTCTGCCAGTAAAATATGCAATTTATGTTTATTCATACACTTACAATATTAACCCTCAAACCACCGTATGGGGTCAAAACTAACCCAGGCGCATATAAATATGTGCCGTTTTTACATTTCTTGTCGAAAACAAAATTATTCTTTTGAGTTTGTTTGTATATAGGTCTTATACTTTATTATACGTTTTACTGAGTTTGATTGAGTTATTCTAGAAAGGTTTTATCTGGTCCAGTGGGATCAAAACTGACCCTAGCATTTTTTTAAAACATGTGAGTCTTCTGTTGTCCTCAATATTTCTTCCAGGTAATAAGTTCCCTTAAGTTTTATGTTGCCCCCTGAATTACATGAACAAATTGAATCAGAAAACTCAAAGATTGTGACCCAAGACCTAGTTGCCTATGGACCTTGAGTCAAAGGTCATCAACATGGCTGCCTGGAGGCATCTTGTGTGAGGGGCATGAATTATGATAATGAGCAGTAATTATTCACACTTAATCATGTAAAAAATGGTGATTTGCTCCTCGAATTCAATACTCCTCCAAGACAAGATAGACCATACCAATAAATGTGGCAGCATGTCTGTATGGTTACCTCTTACAGTGCGCTGCCCGACATGTGAAACAGTGATGCAGCTAAACACAGCTTGTCGTTTTTCCACCCTCCTCGGATCACACGGTATGGATAGTTATATAAGCTTAGAATTTCATGTAATTACAAACACAGGCTTCACATTGGCATTATTTACCCATAATGATGCTCAGTTTTACCTACCTTACACAAACAACAAGTTTATAAAATTCCCTCATTTACTGATAAGAAATTATAGAATTTCCGTATTAATAATCCAGATGACGCCCTTATTTGTGTAATTGATATCTGTTAATGTTCCACATACCATCACACATGTTGCATGTCTTAAAGCCCTTATCTAACATTAAAATTCTCATTATGCAAATTAATCCATTCCTATCTGCATAGTGTACATCCAATTTTGTGCATATATCTGTCTGAGCTACGTACATAGAATTCATTTATTGCGTAGTTACATAGAACAATGAAAATATGTGGCAATTTAGCATTGAGTTTTGCCGAGGCAGCAGTTGTATTATACAGCAACAATATTCTGATACCCCCGCTCCAAGTATACCCTTCATGTTGATTATAGTCGTGTACAACATATTATTCCGAAAACAAATTCTCTTTTCAGCTCTGAAGACCAAAGTCTTGGAGGTTGCTGCAGACGAGTCTTGGGTGACCCTGAGTGTTGAGGAAAGCCTTCATTTGCCGATCTCCGAGCTGCCAGCAGGTAACCTGATTGTCCCGGTGATGTCCTCACAAGGCCCGTGTGGATGTCACCCTCCCCGTCTCCTGCCACTGGACTCGTCTTACCTCATCATCTTCACCTACCAGCTGCTAGTGGTGGACGAAACCACGTATGTGGAGGTGTGGGACAGTGAGGTTGAACAGCAGCTCAACAGCTTAACCAACTGTGTTGATATGAAATCTAACCCTGGGACAGAAGTGGTGGAGACACACATGAAGTTTACTCCAGGGCAGAAGTAGTGTACTGGTACAGGACGTCTACTCCTGGACAGGAATGTTACAGTTACACAAGAAGTCTTTTCCTGGACAGTTTTAGTGTATGGACCCAAGAAGTCTACTCCTGGACATTAGTAGTGTAGTAACACAGGACGTCTACTTCTGGACAGGAATATTACAGTTACACAGGAATATTACAGTTAAGAAGTCTACGCCTACCTGTACAGTAGTAGCAAAAGAAGTGAACTCCACGACAGGAGTGGGGTAATGACATAAGACGTCTACTCCCGGACAGTAGTAATGCACAGAATAACAGATCAGGATCAAGCCTAATCCGGGACAGTAGTAGTGCAGTAACACAAGAAGTCTACTTCTGAATAGTGGTAGTGCAGTAACACAGGAACTTTATTCCTGGACAGTAGCAGTGTAGCAACACAAAAAGTCTACTCCTGGACGGTAGTAGTTGAATAACAAGAGATGGACTCCTGGATAGTAGTAATGCAGCAACACAAGAAGTCTACTCTTGAACTCGTATGGGGTTAGTGTTGATGAGTTTCTACTGCAGTAGTGTGGTAAAACATAAAAACCTGTAAAATTGTGCATCAAATATTACGGATAACGAAATATGTTTTATTTCAGCGGGTGTTTAGTTTTCCGCTGGCAAAGAAATATGTCAAATATTATGACTAACGAAATAATTCTATTTCAAACTACCCATTCTTTGATTACAAGAGAAGTCAGGTGTTGTAATAAAAGAAGCTACCAAATTTTCCACGTCTTCTGAAACATACTGTTTTCCTCGTAACAACACTGACCCACATTACAGAGTAATGTTTTAGGTCTTACACTGCCAAAAAGAAGCCGAAGAGAAAACATATTAAAGAAATCAGAATTAGCATTTAAATTATGATGAACTAGAAAGGCCAATATTTGCTTTGGAGCAAATACAGCGATGGGTTCACCACATTTTACGACATGGCAGGGAAAGAATGAGAAACACAAGGGAAAACAATGATTTACATTGATATAACTATAATATGAAGTAACATACAACTAAAACAACAGTTGGATAGCTATTCCCTACTTTATTGGTTAGGATTTTTAATTGCATAATGCAAACTGTTGATTTTCAAAATAAAAAAAAGTTACAATGCCCCGCATTCCAATGCTGGAGCAGAAAAGCTTGAAATACCTACCAAAACACTTGAATAAAGACATACTGTCAGTATGGAAATGCTTCTGTGCAGGTGTTAATCAAGTTAAATCCCAACAGCCAATCAGCAAGAAGTATAGAGGAAAGCTGCATGCCTATTGGTTGATGCCCTGCATTCCATTGTGATGACTCATGCCCAGACGTGGTAAACACGGCACAGTAACACAGTAATACATTTGCTATAACACAGCCAAAAAACTCAAATAAAACCATTCTAAAAGCCTGTATCACAAAAATTTAAAAAACGCCTAGGGGTATTTGCCCACTGTACCTCCATACCAAATTTCAGGACCTTAGGCCCTAAAATGAAGAAGCTGAATCCATTTAGAAAGGCCAACATTTGCTTCGGAGCAAATGTAATATTTCACTCCATCTCCCTCCCCATACAAAAATAGAAGATTCTGAATAAATCATACTGCAATTATACAAGGACAAGCTTTTTGAATCTCGACAGATATTTACAAAAATGGCACTTGGCCATTATCTCCCTTTTTTTTACAAAGATACGACGACAAGCACGTTAAATCTCGACAGCTTTACTTTACACTTATCTCAATCTCAAAGTTATATATTGCAGGTACTAGTATCTAAATACTACTAATGACGAAATTGCAACTACTACTAACGGTAGCAAAATTTTCACGGTCTGAGAAACATGGACATGTTCACGGAACTATATATTCACGGTGGTGACAGTTGCAGGAAAAAGAAAGTCCAGGAATTATTTCCTAACTGTAATGATAAGTTCACGGTACAGAGGTGACAGTGAAACCGTGAACATAGACCTCCCGCTTGCGTTACGTTGCGGTACAGTGAAAAAAATTGGGAATTACAGTAATCAATTTACAGAGTATGTTTGCTTAGTTTCCAGATGTTTTGTATCATTGTCGTAAACTTAGCTTTAAACTAACGAAAACCGATGCGCACACAGATGCCATCCATACAATCAAATCAACATGGCCTTATTAACAATCACATAAACTATGAAGCCATACATTGAATAAGCTATACATATAATATGATTATCATAACCTTTATTTTTAAAATCATGCCAGTGAGCTAATTGCATGTACAGAGTGAAGGAAAGTAAAGTAAAGCAGTAGAATTTCTGTACTAGCTATGATAGTACTTCATATGATTCGTCCTCATCGTCATCATTCAATGTGCTCTATCTCTTGCTACTAGTGACTGGTAATACCTCTGTAGATTCTTCACACTGGCACAGTGCCGTACTCCTTCTCTCTTGTCAGCTCCATACTTTTGTGACAACATCAAAGTGATTTTAGTTTGTATGTTGGAAAAATACAAAAGACTAACATTCTAAGTTATTGACATTCTTGAGTAAGAACAATCAGTTTTTGAATGTTAAAAGCAAAACAACGAAAAGAAAATAAAAATAGTTGAAATTGTTAAAATGCAGAATTGTTAAAATTGTTAAAACTGATAAAATTGTTAAAACTGATAAAATTGTTAAAAATGATAAAATTGTTAAAAATTTGATAGTTAATTAATGTCCGATGCACTGGGGTTCGAACTTGCAATGCCTGGGATTGCCGCCTTGCGCGTTTCCAACCGAGCTAACTCGGTGCGATACACATCACTCACTGCATTGTATGTCATAAAAAGTAAACAGCATGGCGGTATCGATCGCTTCAAGGCACCAAGACTTTCAACTATTAACTACGGGGTTTCCTTCTTTATCAGGTTTGCTTTTGAACCACCTTGATGTTACTTAACTATCAACCCGGCTAGTAGAAGCCGCCGGCTCCTACTAGCCGCTCCCTGTCCAATCTTCGAAAACTGTCGGGCATGCAAGCCCTCGACGCTCGCCAGGAAGCCGTCTCGCGATGTTCTCAGCAACAACAAACGAACGCCTGTACACTCTACAATTTTGGTGATTCTTCGGAGATCGATAACAGAACCTAGATAATACTAGTTGGTAAAGATTGCGGAAAATTGTTGATACCGTGGCGCGCGCGCCGACGATACACATTGCGTACCGCGTAACTTTTTTGTTTACACGCCGGGCGCAGGTCATTGACCTCCAACTTGCGTTGTTCCAACAGAGAAGAGCAAAATGTCTGGCTCCCGCAGAACGTACCGCACTCTCCCGCTGGACGTACCGCACTCTCCCGCAGAACGTATCGCACTCTCCCGGAGGACGTCCCGCACTCTCCCGAGGGAAGTCCCGCACAGCGTCCTGCACTCTCCCGCAGAACGTCCCTCGAAAATCGATGCGTATTTCGTGGCCTGTGCTGTACCTACCAAAACACTTGAGTTCATACTGTCAAAATGGAATGGCTTTGAACAGGTGTTAATTGAGTTAATCCAATCAAATCCAACAGCCAATCAGCAAGAAGAATAGATTGGTCTGCATCAGGTTCATGCTTGCATGCCCATATATGGGCATACCGCCGAATTCCTTTCTTATTACGTCACGCGCGTACGCCCCCACAGTACTTTCCTATGGGGACCGCTAAAAAAGCAAATAAAACGATTGTAAAAAAAAATTCTTGTATCAAAAAAATTCAAAAAACGCCTAGGGGTATTTACCCACTCTACCTCTATACGAAATTCCAGGTAATTTCGCCCAAAAATGAAGGAGTTGAATCAATTTAAAGATGTGGCAGGAGGAGAAGGAGAAGAAGAAGAATCATCAGTAAAAACAGTATTTCACTCCATACTTCAGTGAAATAAAAATGGCAGGAGAAGAAGAAGGAGGAGGAGGAGGAGGAGGAGGAGGAGGAGGAGGAGAAACATAAGAAAAAGCAATATGGGTTCACCACCACTTCGTGGTGTGGTGAACCCATAATTATTGTCATAACACTTATTAGTAAGACTAGATCACTGACACTGGAGACCGACAGGTGTTGGTTATAGCCACCAATGCCTTAAACTGCTATTAACCCTTAACAGAACACCTTCCCGGACTGATTAATCTGTAAACCTGGGGTCCGCGCGGACCCCAGAACCGTTTTTTGCTAATTTGTAGAAATTATCAACATACTACCAGCTCAATTGTTCTGCAAACTGATGTGGGAACCTCTGTGTCCACATTATATACAAAAATCATACATTTTGAACTTCTATTTTTTGGTAAAGAAAAGAAAACAAGAAGAAATACCCGATTTTTAAACCCATTTCAGACTGAAGGGGCTTTTGAGGCCCAACTTTGATCTCAGATAGCGGCTAAACGACTTGCGCTAGAAGTATCAAATTTGGAGACCTTTCCTAAAATGTCTCTGGAAAAAAGTTCATTTTAGTTTAATACTAGTAAGTTGATGTTTTTTGTGTTGCCATGGCAACGGGTTTCTAGCAGGCAGTTTTTTTGAAAATAGAAGTAATTTTGGTTTAAACTTAAAAATTTTCTGAGTTTTATATGAAATTGCACTTCTTTTCCAATATTAATAACATCTTACATAATTAAATATAAGTTAAATCATTTAATATGCATAGAATATGAATAGAATATGACGTCATTGGTCAAAATCCAATATGGCGGACTATATTATTAGCTCTGACGCCATATGACGTCATAATTACAATAAAGTTAGTAAAATTTAATTCTATTACTACACCATTCTCTGAAAACTTGGTAGACATACGATGAGTGCATAAAAACATATAAAAACGGAAATAAGGTAATGTATAAGAACGCCAGTGTATCCATTATGATCGAAAGCCGGCTGGGGTCCGCGCGGACCCCAAAAGAAAATCAGATATAATTTTTTTTTATAAATGGTAGAAACGGAGTTTTCTGCACTGTATTGAGAGACAACTTTGTGGGTGACAATTACGTAATATTTCAGAAAAAAATCTTCTGAAACAAAAAAGATATTACAGAATATATAGTGCTGGGGTCCGCGCGGACCCCAGGTGTACTGTTTAGGGTTAAGAGTGTCGATACGGAACCAAGAGGTCCTATGTTCGAGTCCTGACATGCCACCGATATCGTGTGCCCTTGGGAAAGGCACTTTACACGACTTAACTCAAGTGAAAATGAGTATTGTCTGTTCTGTATTTGTTTCTATGTGTGGGATACAGCAACGGCTGCCGGTGTCCCACGTGTTGCATTGTTGCAATTTAAATAAATCAAATCAATCAAATCAGGACATTTATAATCCTAAGCGGATTACTAGATCACCTAAGCGGATCTTATAATCAGTATGAAGAGATATGGATTTTCAAATAAATAATTTAAAAAAAGCATTTATATTATTGCTTAGACTAATCAAAAGGTGATGTGACGTAAAGCGTAGGTCTTAGTTTAATGGACAATATACCATTTGAAGACCCCCAAACTAGTGCGCGCGGGCGAAAAACATCCCAGCCAAAAATGCTGCTAAACTACAGGAATACAAAGTAGGTGAATTTTTGGTAGCAATAGTTTATGGTTGTTTTACGACAAGCCGACACATGCTCGACGTAGACGAGGCCGACAGCATACCCCCTACTTCAAGTACGTCCAACAACTGCTGGGAGACGAGTACAATCAGCTAACAGAGAAGCAGCGACAAGGGGCAGTGGAGGGACCTTGCTGTCGCCTGCGCCGCAGCTGACCGATGATGATGCACATGCTGGCCGTTTGCGGCATTTAGGAGTCGGCACTGTCCTGAGTTTCATGGATCTTCGGCAGCCTGGGTGCCGTCCTCCGTAGTTACCGCCGGCTCCCTATTGTCGGTAGCTGACATGTACTAAGGAGGACGACACACAGGCCAGAGCCTCTTCGGAGGTGATTTTTCAGAACATGCGAAATCCAATGGTATCGTATCGTTCATATGCATAGTGGCGTTCAGCAGATGAGCCCACCCTCTGTGTACGTTTAAAGCAAAGTGCTGTTAGGTTTTCACTCTAGCTCTCTTTTCCTTGTAGATTTTTTTACAGGTTTCAAGTATATGTTATATTAAATAAGGTCTCTGCCACATTTTAACACTGAAAAAATATCATAAAATTTCTGATGTCACAAGCCAGTCATAAACGTTCTAAAATGTTTACAACATATAATGAAATGCAATTTAAAAGTGACAATGCAGACCTGATCAACAGAATTCAAATTTGCGAACTTTTTGTGGAAGGTTTATGTTAGGTGGCTAATCTACATCTCTGTGCAAAGTCTAAAAAGGGCTGTCGTCTATCTAACACTGATCTTTATAGGCAATGGGGAGGTTATTAATAGCCAACAGAGACATACTGTATTGATAAGCACTTTATTTAAGTCTTTATTTCACACCAATGATAAAACAGTAAAATGCTAAGTTCTTACGCAAACTGTAACGAAGCCGTATTGCACTCACTGCACTATATGCTACTTAACATCAGATAACTAATGACTGCTTTTTTTACCTTTTCACTGTATAATTCTCCAGAATGGTTTGTTTCCAAATGTTCTACATGCGTGCCAATACCATAACCATATCACAAATATCCACACTATAAATGTGCTACAGTTTTAACTATGTAGCAGCATCTTTATCAATATTACGCTTTCCTGCCTTATGAGTTGTATTAGTTCTATGCCTACAGATTATTCAATCGTCTGTTTTTAATATTTACAGACATTGATCACATGAAATATCAAACTCTTATTAGAATCTGCAACTGAAAAGGCAAAATACTACCTTGTAAGGTTTGTGGTCTCTATTCTATACACTTGTTTACCAGTTTGATAGCTTTAGTTTCATATTGGTAAATGGTATATAAAGTTACTACTACAATTTAATCAAACTACGAAAGATAGCTTTCTACTGTTAAGATACAAATATTACACCTGTCAGTGTGGGAAACATATTACACTGAATCATCTCGATCGAGGCTCCAAAGAAAGTAATGCAAATAGCGATTTCAAATGGATATAGAAGAATATCAATCATTTTACAGTCTACCGTCTCCCTTCCACAGCTTTTAGTCTTCGCCCCATTCTCCTGCCTGCCCTACATCGCTTGCATGGCGATGCCTTCATCAAAATGGCGCTTGGGAATGTCATTGCGCAGTAGTCGTTTGTCTTTGCGAGGGTTGGAATCAGTTCGACCACTGCTAGGGAACAGGGACGGGTTAAATTTCAACGAACAAGTAAATAAGATATATCCAGCTTTTAAGTCTGCGAGTTTTGTTTACAAAATATAGCAGTAATAACTAGAAATTCATGATTTTCTTTCATAACCTTTATTGTACATTTAATGAAAATCTTGTAACTGTAGTTGAATATATCGCACATGTGAAGGAATGTATGTTTCCTTGTGTGAGAATGGCTCTTTCTAACACCTATTATAAAGTGGCAATTATTTACACCAATGAAAAATGTCAGAATGGCTCAGTTCAACAAATTACCTCAGACAAAGGTCGAATAAAAAGAATGAAAGCAATAAAATTGTCGATATCCATAAAATATTTCTCCCTTCCACTTTAGAATTACTTAAAGTGAACACAAATAGAATAACCAACCTAAGAGAAATGAAATCGTAACATTTAATCATTTAAAAAATTTAGCCATCATTTATTTTCTATATCAGTTTCCTCAGACCCATCAGAAAGAAATTTAAAGTAATTCCTTAAAAATTATAGGAATATCATAGCCTCTTGATAACTATAAAACGAAACCTTACCTTTTACGCCTGTACATGTATACTCCAACAACGATTACTCCAATAACGGCCACCAGCACGATCGGGATCACAACAGCGACGGCAATAGTAGTACTGGTATCGTCCACTGAGTCATCTAGTTAGAAAACAAACATGATTTTAACTTAAATGTTGAAACGTGTTTATGCAAACGTTAAAATGCATGGCCGTTCACTGGAATATAAATATACAATGTACATGTAAGTCTGGTTTCTCTGGGGTAACTTTAGGGTGACCTGGGCAATGCCTTCAATTTGGTCTATACGCACGATAGTATGGCAGAGAACACAATATAGTTCATTCAATTTCGCAATTTTTTTCTTTTAATTAAAACTGGCATCTAGTGTACTATTAAGTATTTTACAAATCAAAATTTTGCCATTTCAATTTTTCTGCTGAATCAGACATATGCGCCAAATAACGAGATTTGTTTATTGAATCGGTTTATCAGAAGCTTACTCTATATGGATACTGAAAATAAAAACTGATAGATTAAGTAAGAGAAAATAGGAGTTACCAGCGGCACCAAACTTTTGGACTTTCTTTTGAATAAGGGTATACATATTTTGTCAAATATGATAAAGATACTATAATTACATCATAGGTGAAATTTACAAGTCTTAATATAACCTTTGGTTTCCCCAAAGTTGTCTGGATCCGAAGACGGCTTGGTTGTGATTGTGAACTGTGAACCACCTGTGGTCATGACGGGAGCCTGCTCCGTCTCCGGTTGTATCTCCGGATGTTCTATAAAAAATCAATGAACAAGAATTAATTTGTGATTTATAACAAGGTATTTCACACAACCTATAATTATGTGCTCGTGAGATTTTATATTAGACCGCTACGGCAGAACTCATCAAAGCTTTTACGACACTAACGTACACATTTCTGATCATATCCAACAATGACAGTAACGTTAGCTGCCATTAACATATTAGGACGATATTGTGCCAAACATATACCCACAAACATGACAAAATCTTCTTAAGATAACCCTGCTATGACTGCCAATGACTTTGCCCTGAAGGTACTAGGTAGCGACAATTTTTTAAGACAGTAGTGCAGTTTAATTAAGAAAAAAAGTGAAGAGGATAAAAAAAAAACATTTTACCGCCGCAGCGATTGCGCTATACGGTTCCAGCCCTTATCAAGAAGTCTGTCCGTCCATGTAATAACAGCGACACAAACGGAGCAACATTTAGTGGCAAACATACGCCTTTCTACTGTTATTGCTCATCACACCATTACAAATATTTCCTCAGTCTAAGGGTAGTCCTTCTATGACTGCCGATGTCGTTATGCTGAAGATAGCGAAAAGCTTTTAAAACAGTAGAGCAGCTTCATTATTGAAAACTAGAGTTCCCCGATCTCATACATTCGCCAAATGATGTTAATCGTAATGACTAACAAATTATAGATTATTCCCCCCCGATTTAACAAATAGGATCCTCACTTTCATGAATTACATGTATACCACTGTATCATATTCCCAACCAAAAGACAGTCTTGTACTTGCAATTCTAGCCTTTCGTCATAATTATGCAAATGAAATCCTGATTTGAATACATTATGTTTAATAATATTCACCTTTCTTAACTTTCAAATACCACAAGTATAAAAATTCCAGGCAGTTATCATTACATAATTATAAAATGTTCTCATTAATTATGCAAATTAAGTGTTCATTGAAATAATCAATATCTGCCTGTGTTTCTCTCTTTCTCAATTACCAATATCACAAGCTTCAATAGTCCTTTCGTGGAATGCAGCTGATTTATAGAATTTCCCCTTAAATTATGCAAATAACATCCATATTTGCATAATTGTCACATAATTATATTAAGCATCACGGAAGCTACCTACATACCAAAAATCACGACGATCCGTGAACCAATTCTTGAGTTTTCGTCTTTTGAATACTTTCAAACAGATATCCCTGCAGTTCCAGAGCAAGCCGCTAGGGTGCCCAAATTCACGTCACTACTTCCCCAGCGCAAGCGCTACCTACCATCCAAATTTCGTCTCCTGAGCATGGCTGGATAATAAGATATCAAAACCAGAAGTTCAGCTGCAGTACCATGACAAGCCGCTAGGGGGTCCAAAATCTAATCATTTCAGATCTCATCGACCTACCCACCTACCAAGTATCAAGACAATCCATCAAGGCCTTGTCATGTTATCGTGTTGACAGACAGACAGACAGACAGACAGACACACACACACACACACACACACACATACATACACGAATGCCTCTGAAAACATAACCTTCTTGGCGAAGGTAAAAAGCCATACAAGCAAATATTATTATATGGTTTTATGCCTTGGCCAGTTAAGTTGTATAAAAAAGATTTATTTTTTGACCTAATGAGGACTAATGAGTCGTACTGGGTGAGTTTGTGCCTAATTTTCTGCCCCCCCCCCCCCACTGTTCCGGTCTAGTTGCCTTGTGATAAGAACCTAGAGACTCAACAATAATTTATGTGACTGTGTGAGGTTCAGTAACAGGAGACGGGTAAGCAGTTGGCGCAAGTGTATAGACGTACTGCGCAATTAGTTTTGTTAGAAGATAAATTCTTTAACATTTTAAGATGAGTTTAATAGTCAAAGTTTATTGCAAATTCATGCCCGAAGGCTAATTGCAAGAACATAATAACAACAATAAACAGTTAAAATGATAAATATCATCTACTATCGTTCTCACTGAGGATGATTGGATTTTGTACCATAAGAGCAGTCGGAGGAATGGTCGGCTCCTACTCCAGCTGTTATGAAACCTTCCGGGCAGGAAATGCAGGACATCTGTCCCTCGAGTTCTTGAAAGGACCCTTTAGGGCATTTGGTGCACTTCTTGTTTTGGTAGTACGTTCCCGGTGCACAGTAAACTGAATAAAAAGAAAAAAAGAAAATAAAACAAACAACAAAAATATTCTATCCTTAGAATGTCTGGCAAAATCTTTTGATCATTTAATGTCATCCTTAGAATATGGCCCTTATCGTTGTTTTATTGAAACCATATTTTCCTTTACTTTAAACATTTGGTATTATAAGATTTTCTATAGGGTACTTGACGTGCTGGACTTTGGTAGAAACTGCAACCTACCACAAAGCATCCCTTTTGCTACCATGGGTGGTTGGCAATCAGCATTGAGCGTGACCTCACTTCTATTGGCGTCCACTGCAAAACTCTGACCATCAATGACGACAGCGAAGTCATTGGACTTCGATTTGTTTTTAATTTCTTCGGCTCCAGAAGTGAGGTCTATGATTGTGTTGGATAGCCTGGTGATTGCCTCTTGCCCTGCGTAGAATATGAAATGTCAGATTGCAAGCAATATATTGTCAACGAAAATAAAAGTTATATTTTATATTCGTATTTACCAAAACTTCAAGTTAGTAGAACAAGTAATCAATTACCCGACTGTAACGAATCTATCTCTCTACTCTCTCTTCTCTCTCTCTCTCTTTTACATACATATATATAGAAAGAGGAAGAGAGAGAGAGAGAAAAAGAGATTATAATATTTTTCTTGTATAGATAGGTAAAGGGCAAAGTACCTTTGTTACTCATATTTCCATTCGCCTCGTAGAGGTCTCCGAGGTCGATCGTGCCATTCACATCTCCAAAGAGCACTATACCGAGAGACGCTGGTGATAGGTTATCTCCTGGGAGGTCGCAGTGGAGGACCTATAGACAATAATATATAATACCAAATTATCGTCGTATACGACACTTCATATCAACCCTGTAATTTCTGCATGTTGACATGTCATAACCTTTCATCAACGAACTTGAAACTAAATATTCATACCTGCAATGTTACATGGCAGGTCTTTCTTTTGACACAGTCTACGTCTTGGACATTTTGTGCTCCTATCTCTTTGATGGCGTCCTTGATGTGTCGGCTTTCTCCAGGTGATGTGCAGTACAAATCCGGGTATTTCATCTTGTAGTCAATGGAAAGCCTTGAAGGGATTCGGCCATCTACATGTATTTTGAAATAGAAATAGAAATGTATTTGTTACATAATCAACCATATATCATGAGACAGGTTCAACTTTGTCTCTTCCTATCAGTAAATAAGTAAGACAATTCTCGGAAAAGTAAAACCCACCACAGGCATCTCCACGAATGATGCCCGGTTGAACCAAATCAATTATGTAACAATAAGTGGCTATAGAGATGCTTATAAGCGATTTTAAAGAGTGCTTTTGTGTGTGTTTCTTTGAGCGTGTGTTTGTAGATATGGATGCTATTGTATTATTAGATACATAAATAGATTTGTGTGCGTGTGTGTATGTGTTTGTGTGAGTGTGTGTGAGAGTGTGTGTGTGTATGTGTGTGTGTGCGTCCGCGCGTGTGTGTGTGTGTGTGTGTGTGTGTGTGTGTGTGCATGCGCGCGTGTGTGTGTGTGTGCGCGCGTGTTTGCGTGCGTAACATGGCAGATACTAGTACATTCAGGCTGTACGTACGGGCGCACGATGGAAGTATCGCCAATGGGTTGTTTTCAGTTTGGTGATTCCATTTATATTGTGACTCTGGCCCGCAGGTGTAAAGCAGATGGGGTGTCTCAGAAAACTCCAATCCAAGAGCGCAGTCGATTTGGCAGTAGTTCCTGTCCTCTGTGTCATTCCGGTAACAGTTCATGATGGCACCGAATGGCTGTTTCAGCTCCAGGCAAGCTGCATGAGACAAGAAGAATGTAAGAATGTATTGCACTGTCTCAACATAGATCCCCTTTGTACTCGTTTCTTTCTTCGATATTCCACGGCATTTACTAGTACATCATTTTCTACATATAGAGAAATTATGACTTAATGAACAGTAAATACAATTTATCAAATTTTACTTGCCACAATCCATGCCAAAGGTTTAAAGTATTGGTAGAATCGCCGCGTTTAGAAATTCTGATCGCTATCTCTATCGGTCGAATATTTACTGATTCTGCCAGGTCCCAGTCACTACACTTTGGCCACAGCAAGTAATTTTTTATGGATGACATCAGCGCGCGCATTAATTTTGGCTTGATCTTGGGGAAAAAAGAACTTTTGTTGCCCTCTGAAAGTGGTCAACATGTCGAAATTTGTCAAAGATGTCTGTTGCCATGCCGGAGGGTGGATGGCAGATAGATATGAAGAGAGAAGACAAAACAAAAGGCTTCTGATTTGTCTTTTGCTTTGATGCAGTGATTATTTTCATTCCTTTTATATGTCATGTTCACTGAATCAAACCATTTGTACAATGATTGACAACTTTTATTTTGCAGTAAGCTTAGCACAGTATAGGTACCATTTATTGTCCAACAAGGTTTATGATGTCAAAATTTGAAAATGTAAGAACCTTGTTTTTTGGGGCCCGCCTTGTTTTGTTTCCGCCCGCTCGCATTAGATGTGGAGTCTACGGAGTATGTCATCAATAAAATTTACTTGCTGTGACCTTACATTCATAACTGATATATATATATATTACATACACGGACAACTTTGCACGCTACAGGTTCCGCTCTCTGTGAAATGTCCAATGCAGTCATTGCCGTTCTCTTCAGGAGGTGGGTTGTTGCACTGTCTCGATCTCTGGCGTGTTCCGTTTCCGCATGTAGCACTACAAGGGGTCCAGTCTGTCCACTGTCCCCAACCACCATTGACTGTGTAGATTAAGAACATAAATGTGGTAAATAACAATTGTCCTTTCGGAATTTAGTTAGCAAACTAAAATCAACAAAAGCGCAAATAAACAGGAACATCTGAAATAAACAGTAAATTTAACATCTCATGCATTTTTGTAATCAACGCAAAAAAATTACAATACCTTGGTGGTGAGTGATCGCAATTTTATTGATGTGGCATTTTAAGCTAATAAGAGGTGAACATCATTAAAGATAAATCATGCGAATCAGGGCCTTATTTGCATAAAAGATGTGAACATGATACACAAGCTAAATTTTGTTCATTTTACAGAATTTACAGAACACGCGTTTGTGTCAATTCTTTTCGTAACCTACCGATTTCTCTCTCACAAAGCCTTCCTGTAAACCCATCGGAGCAAACACACGTGTAGTTTGCCACGCCATCCACGCATGTCCCGCCGTTCTTACAGGAGCCTTCGTGACAGTCATTGATGTTGACGTCACAATGGGTACCGGTGTATCCCGCCTCACAGACACAAGTGTAGAACCCAAAGTCATCCCAACACCCAGCTGCATGGTCTCCACAGGGGTTCGGGTTGCAGTCGTTGTGGTCTACATGTAAAGGACAGAGTAACAATTTCTTTAAGAAGACTGTCAAGCTAACGCTAAATATTAAGCTAGCGAAAGTACCATCACGATAATAAAAAAAAGTGATAAAAAAAGATCATCATTTTTACCGTCACATATTGATGGCAGCCTTTGCGTTATGCGGTTTCTGGTGCTTGTCAAGACATCAGTCCATGTGACAACAGCGTCTGTGTCATCATAGGAGCAACTCTGTGACATTTGGAGGATTGTAGACTCCGGTAGAGCTCCTCCATTCCATACACTTAAGGCGCTGATGTCACAAGCAAGAGAGCCTTTGAAAAAAAGTTCCACGTCAAACCTAGTACCAAACAACCGCTGAACAATAATAGAACATGAATGTGCTTTGTAACAATGATGTACTGAAAGTATTGCCTTTTCATCGTTGTTAAGTATGACTCTTAATGTTTGCCCACTGGCATTTGGATACGTTATTTTTCAATTGATTTATTACAAAAGAAATGTGGTTGTACTGGCTATCGATAGCCCGGTACAAAAAAAAATGCTAAACATGCTTTTTTGGACAATAGGGATGACGTGTTTGAATTTTATTACTCATATCATTTTTTCAACCAAAAAACAGTATGCTTTCCATGTGTCTAATGATACAAGATAGGAAAGTCAATTTGATATCTACTAATAGCCAGTTGTGATACGAAGAAAATTTTTTTTTAATTAGGAAATAATTTATTTTCTTATACCTACCGACAATTGGAAGATATTAATTATTTAAAACGTTCATTTGTAGCTTTTTCATTAGGCACTAGTCAATCCATGAAGTCAAAGATTATTGCAAAACAACTGCATCGGGTACAATTATGGCAAACACCAATGTATATTAAAACACTTAATAACTATAAACTATTTCTACTGGCTTACTAATCTAACCTTATCATTCAATATATGCACAATACATCTACATTTTATGCACATGGAAAAGTTTCATTAGTTTAATATGTACCATTACTCTTCTTCTCTTTCATAGAAGTGATATAAGGGCTGATACTTCATACGTAATCCCTATGGTCTGAAAAATAATTTCATCAAATTCTTATGTACCAAGCTATCGATATTCGTTACAAGTACAGTTCTTTTATAATAGTAGAGAAAAATGCCAAATTGGCCAGGAAGCAAACTTCTAATTAATTCATTCAATCTTAGCTGAATATGTCAATTTACGTATCAACACTTTACCTCCGACGGCGTCGCCTAGGACGATGTTCGTGTTTAGTGCTGGAAACACTGTGCTTGCGAAGTTGGGCAGACTTTGAGACCAGGATTCGACTCCATCGATGTACACTTTGCAGTCTTTTTCAGCATCACGCAGGGTGACAACAAGGCTGTGCCATCTACCACCGTCTAACGGTATTCCTGTGCTTAGCACTGTGCTGTTTCATTAAAAAAACACTTTTTGTAATTAATCATCTTGTAGAGGACGTCAGGAATAAATTGCAGACTTACTTTGTAACAATGGACCATTAAATGAAGTGTATTGGAATTTAAAAAAAAGTGAAGCATTGTTGTAGTTCTGAACAATACCCGATGATTACCTTTTTGTAATTCATTTTGCCAAAGTACACACATAGACTGACAGTCAGTGACAGATGATAATTTTATCAACAAAGAACCGCAGACAATCAACTGAATAAAATTACAGCTCTTCAGGAATTTAGTGTGTGGTTTTGCGACGTACATGTTGCTACATTATGCTATAATGAAAGTTCACCGTGTTGGTAGTAAACACGTTTAAAGTTAAAACTCTTGTTCCACGACAAAAATTGTTCTCACCTACAGCTAGACGTCAAACTTCAGAGAAGCCATATGACAACTCTTACTGGGTCAGTCCATTGAACAAGACCGAATTGACTGTTAAAAAAACACTAGGAGAAAACAGCTCTTTGTGTTGGAACAAAAGTTTTGACTTTAAATATATTTATATTTTTACCTCGCTAAAGCCACCTCTAAGCTTTCTTGTTTTCTAATAGCGAACAGAATGTTTGATTCATTCCCCAGGTAAAAAATGGTGCCATGTGCTGAGTCCAGATGAGGACGGATCCAGAGGGAGAGAGTGATTCCTTGTAGATCAGATGGCGTTTCTGTCAGTTGAACACTGCTGGATACGTTGAGGACTAGGTCGATGCCTGTTGCGATTGTAAATTAACAGTTTTGTTATGCAACAATTGCTGTGTTTTTCTTTGCACATCCTCTTCCATTATGAGCAAGCCAACCTGCCAATGGGGCTCTCAATTAAAATGCATGATATACACGACTGTTGCATAAAATTTATCTGGCAACAATATAGTTACGACTCTTTCGTGCTACTATGGTAACCCACCACCCCAAAAAATTATTTTACTTTTCAGCCATGTAAGCAGTTAATGTCATTTTGTTGCAGATTTTTGAGAAATGTTAATTAAAAGTTGGGCCCTCAAAACCCTCTTTTAAAGCGCACTACCACAATTAAACCTGCTTACTTTTACACTCATTCATCGCCTTTGCACCGAATGTTGTCGTTGTTTGTCCGCTGGGACATCTGTGACACTGCTTCTGGCCTGACATGGCCTGGTAGTGACCCATTTCGCATTGTGCACACGGCTCCATTCCAGTATCCGAGTACCATCCGGGTTGACAGGTATCTGCAAAACGGGAGGGGTAAAATGGAATTTATCATTAATTCCAACGAGCACCTCATCTTTCTGTGTACGTTTGTGTATGTACGCGTGTGTGTGTGTGTGTGTGTGTGTACGTATCTGTGTATGTGTGTATGTGCATGTGCATGTGTGTGAGTGTGTCACTGTATGTGTATGTGTGTGTGTGTGTGTGTGTGTGTGTGTGTGTGTGTGTGTGTGTGTGTGTGTGTGTGTGTGTGTGTGTGTTTGGGTGTGTGTGAGTGTGTGTGTGTGTGTTTGTTGACAGAAAGACTCAAGAGGTTACGTAACTCCGTATGAAACTATGATATTTGACTTGTGGTTATGTGTCGGCAAAACAAAGGTCAAGTTTGATAAGTACTCCTCTGCGGTTTTCTAGTTCTGCCCCCAGAAGTTTTTCTTGAACTCCAGGGGCTGATTTTTGAATGTGATATTAACGTCATTTCACATTTATTCGATGCGTTTTTAGACAGATATATGAAGATATAAAGCTACTAACCCAAACAGAGATCCATTGATCGACTTCCATTTTTAACCGTCCATGTACCAAGTGGGCAGGGTTTGCATGTCAACTGCCCATCTTCATCTTGGAATTGTCCGGCTTGGCATTTCTCACATACACCTTTGTCTGTGTCAAAGTAACTTCCCTTGGGACAGCCCTCTGAAACAAAGGAGTTACAAGGTGTTAAATTGGGTCTGAGTCATTAACAACCACACGTTATGTTCATGATCTCATTCAGTTTCTTACACATCAAAAGTATTATGCAAATGCAATATCGTCCCAATCTGAATGCTCTAGTTCATGGCGGTAATTATAAACGTCAAAAATAATATTGAGATATTTACATGATTTCGTAATGTTGGCAGTGATTAAGAAATAAATACAGCTGTAATATGCTATGCAAATTTTTAATGCTATTGGCCCAGAAAACTTACTGCACGTGTAGGTGTCATAGTCCGGCTGGTATCCTGGCTCACAGACAAGATTTGTCCATTGAGATGTGACAAATGAGTCAGGCTGCACTTCCAGATCAATGGCCGTGACGTTATTCAAAGAGAACTTGCCCTCCTTCACCCCTTCGTCGATCTTATCAGCCATTGAGAAAAGGGTATTTTCTAAATCTATGTAACTAGTATGCTGGTCCGTTTGTTCTTTGACTTTGACACTTAAGTCGAACTTGACTTGCAGTTGGTACGATGGCTGACCGGAACGCGTTGTCACGTTACCGCAGTAAACCACCACATTTTCAGCCGCGCACTCTACAAATAGTTGGCATAAGTGACTGTAGTCGGAACTGTTGAGAATCGCGATGAAGTTCTCTTGAATCTGTACTTGAGTCTCCGGGTCCCTGCAGTCTCCTGAGTAGTAGTACAGCTCCGATGGTAGGTTCATGCTGTCTGGATCTCGGGGTACTGAAAAATATGAAATAAACCTTATACCATAATCTTATGCCATCACCACAACGGTAAGTAACAGTTTTCTAAATCTATTAAGACCAGTAACTGTTCCGCTCATTGTAACCCGCGTACTTTTTCAAAAGAGTAATGTCTCATGAGTATTTGTACCAAGTTTGGTGCTTGTATCACAAAGTGAAAGATTATTTCAGTTATCTGCCCCAATATTCTAAAACCCTGTATCACAAAATGAAAAACAAAACACTTGGGGTATTTGCCTTCTCTACCTCCATGCCAAATTTCATGTTATTTGGCCCAAAAATGAAGGAGTTGAATGAATTTAAAGAAATGGCAGGAGGAGAAGAAGCAGGAGAAACTTGAACTTGCGAAACTTGTGCAAAAACAATACGACTTAACCACTAGGTGGTGAAGTCAGAAAAATAAATTGTAGTCAAATTTCTTAAGCAAAATTAATCAGATCCAGAAAATTAGAAAACTCAGACATAATACAAACCCACGTTGCCTTTCTTTCAATGTACGACATACAACAATAAAACACATGGCAAATGAGTGGCTACATAGTTAGGTGTTATAATAACCTTGCACATTGTAGTTACCGTTTTTTTTTACTAATTGCTCGTTTAACCCTACCTAGACCGGGCTTTTTTTGACATGGGGGACCGGGGGGGGATCTTTTGACCCCCCCCCTCGCGAACTCGCGAACGGTATGTCGTATGACCACCAAATTTTCATAGAATGATGTACTAGTAAAAATCTATCATATCCACAATTTTTATGTCGTTATGACGTAATATGACGTCATTATGACGTCATTAATGTGATTTTATTGGCCAAAACCGTCTAAATAGGTTTTTCTCTGAAAACTAAATGGTATTCAACATAACTGTACCAAAAGTGTTTATGACAGAACATTAGGGTGTACTCTGTCTTATGTTGCTCATAGCAACACCGGTAACGTCATAAAATGACGTCATGCATATTTAAGATATCCGCCATCTTGGATCATCAATCTTGAATTTTCAAAAATAGTTTTTTTTCATGATAAAGCCTAAAATACACTGTAAACATACTTAAGACCTTCATTTACACCTTTTTTTGGAAAATTGGCGGTATTGATGAAATTTTAATGAAAATAAGCTGTATATATCTGTTTTAATGATATGGTCCGCCATCTTGGATTTTGGCCAATGACGTCATCAAATTAGCATAAATTATGCATATTTAATGATGAAATTTACATAAAATTATCAGGGATGTTATTAATATTAGAAACCATGAGTAACTTGACCTAAAACCCATAAAACTCTATTGTTGAAACAAAAAATACTAAATTTAGCAAAAAATGCCTGTCTGAAACCCGTTGCCATGGCAACACAAAATAATATTATCTTATTCCAATGATAGAGAATTGTTGCCAACAATATTCTAGGAAAAGTCACCAAGTTTGGCCGTTCTACGGCTAGCCGTTCAGACGCTAGGTGACATCAAAGTTGCCGCGGGCACTTTTAGCCCCCCCCCCCCCGGTCTAGGTAGGGTTAACTTTGACAGAAATGTCTGGCATTCATGATCAAGATGGAACGATACACCTTTGCCTACTCCATAAACACTGCGGTATACATTCACGGAGGGTTGTGTCCTACATGCTTTTGTTAGCTGCTACAGCCAGACACTGGTATAATTGTTACAGCATATATATTCCATACTGATGCTTCATTTATTTATTCATTTATAGCACTACTTACATGCACAGTTGGGAACATCATCGTCAGGATTCCATGTGCCTGACAGGGTTTCACACACGTATCTTTCCGGAGTGTCCAGCGGAACGTCCCATTGGTCATTACACTGGATGAGGCAGAATGTTCCATAAGCCCATCCGTCACAGGCCAGGGCTCCATTGTCCGGCGGCCGAAGTGTAGGGCATGGCACAACTATAAATAATAGAAAGTAATAGAACTCCAGTCAGGAATCACAGTAAATATCTAATTATTTATTTCGACTAAATTGGCTATGTGCTCTTACAAAATTTATGTGCACGCCATATAGCATTACCAAAAGATACCACATGTCATGTTTTCCTGTTTTTTTTTATTTCAACATGCAAAAATACAATACATAGCGGTGGCGCACTCAAGCAAAATACTTATATTCACGTCACAACTAGACATAAAATGAAAATTACATCGCAAAACATGGGTATCGTCCAGGCAACAAGAGAACAGAGTTTAGCTATGAAGATATTAAGATAAGTTTTCTTAGTTCCACAACCATGTATTTTACTGTGCCGACTTTTCGACGACCTCTCTGCCATCTTCCTTAGGGCAAACTGAAATGCCAAACAGATTGCCTTGATGAAGATGACAGACAGGTCGCTCAAACGACGGCATGGTAAAATATATGGTTGCGGAAACTTAGAAAACCACGTTGAATTGACGTACCAACCTAATGAAACTATTAACGGAAGACACCACATTGTATCACTATATACATCATACATATTATAATTAAATTGTGCTCTGATTTGTGTACGGTCTCATATAGAAGACCTACCAGTCTATTAAAAAAGAAAACGCTATAAAAAGGCTTATGGCCTTCGGGAAATTATTAGGATACTGTGTTACACATTTAAAAGGGATACACATTACTTTTGCAGAATGGCTTCGTTCGGTTGAAACCCCAGTCCCAGTACCCTACTGGTTCATTGCTGTTGTAGTCTCTCTCACAGGAAAAGGACGTGGGGCCGATCACTGGGTAGCCTGTCTCACATCCGAAGGTGCATGTTGAGCCATACACGTACCCGTTTGGACAGGAAAGCTCTGCTTTTAGCGTATATCTGATGGGAGGGCATGTGATAACTGTAAAGAAATACAGAATTCCTTTAGTAATTTGTTAATAATTGCAGTAGGCCACACCAATTTAATTAGTTGGTTCTTGGACTTTTTCATAAAAATATGAAGCGACAGAGCGAAAAAAATAAAAATAAAAACAGGTCTAGGCATACTATTATAGCCCGAAATGCTACGATAAGAGCCATGAATTCAACACAATAGGCTGTAGTAATATTCAAGCAACGAATTTTGACCTTGTAATCAAACCACTGCATTGATAGATGGAAAAACTGCAACAACTAGGAAGAAATGGACTTTCCTCAACCGTTCAAGAAGAACAATCAAACCCAGCAAGTGCCTAAACGCATAGCTTTGAAATACAATTTCCATCCCGCTTAATCAATTTGTTACACGTACCTTGTACATCTACTTTGAAGGAGCACAGTGCTTCATTTAAGGAAGCATCTGTCGCGGTGTATTTGATAAGATGTTGTCCGCGAGTGAAAGTGGATCCAGGTCTACTGCCTTCACTGAGATGGACAGAGGCGGGCATGTCTATGTTATCAATTTTGTCTACGGCAGTCGGTTGTTCCCAGGTAACGACAGCTGTTTCCCTGCTTCTGTCGGCAAACGCTACGATATCTGTTGGGCAGCTGACGAAGATCGGTGGTTGAATATCTGTGAATGGGGCAATAACACTGAACATAAGTTACAGACACAAAAGTCAATAAACGGATGAATGCTCGCTAGCTCGCTAGCTCGCTAGATATGACAAGAAAAGGAGGAAGCACTTCCAATTGAAGATTCAACATTTGATGTTTTCCCAATATTTGTCAAACTTAGAACAGCAAACTTGACCCCCCCCCCTTAAACCTATATATCTAAGTCATTAAACCTTACTCTCAAAGCATATATGTTTGGGTGTTCTTAGGCTATCTAATTTCTTTTCTTTTTTGCACTGATTTGTTTAGGGGTCAGGTGACAAAAATTCCAGGTGAAAAAAGAAAGCTCGATAAAACACGGCAATTATAACACAAATCCCAAACATATGCGTTGAGAGTACTTAAAATCAATACATTAAATCAAATTTGTTGAAGTATTTATTAAATATTACCTTTGCATCTAGTCAACTGGACATCCCAGACACTATCAGCCTGACACATTGCGGCTACTCTGTTCTGGTCCTCCGGGAGGTATCCTGCCTCGCACTCCACCTGACAGACACTGCGGTACTTGTTTTCATTAGTGCAGCTTACAGTTCCATGTTGGGGAGTCAGAATACCATCGCAAGTGGACTCTGGCAAAATAATAAGTACAACATGTTTGATTATCTGCACTCACACAGTTCTCTTGTAGAGACACGGAGGCAGAGTCGGCTTGATAAAGCTTAATGTCACCTGTTGGATGTCACCTGTCTTATGCTCAATGATTTAGAAAATGTTACATGTCTGATACCAGTGTCACTAATTGAATTATTTAAGCTCACACCCAATATTGGGCCCAAAACTCACAATGAGCATTCTTTCACCAACGCAGATGAACTTTCAAGATAGAACTTTTCCCTGGTTCATCAATTTCATCTTGTATTACTGCTAAGATAACTGTCACGAAAAATACATAATACTTATTGGGTTGTAGCTGAATCTAAACGTAAGTAAAGTAACAACATGATACATATAAGTGAAAAGAGTGGAAAGTTAAATCAAAATAAAACGCTGGCATGGGATGTGCATAGACGTTTTTTCTAGAGGTTGAGCTTGGTTAGTCGGGAACGCAAGAGAAAGACACCCCCAAATTTTAGCGTACCCGAAAGCAAATAAAGTTATACAGAATAACAAGATGGGGATGGAAATCACTAAATAAAAGAGACATATGGAAAACTAGAGCAAATATAGGTGGAAGATTGGTCGATGTAAATTGCTTTACTTTTTTTTTGCCTTTAAGCATATCTTACCTCCACAATCGACGGCGTTGGTTGGTACCCACACGCCGGTTCCACCAACCATCTCACAAGTACGCGTGGTTCCTCCTGACATCTGGTACCCTGGCAGACAGCTGTACTGGCAAACAGTTCCCCACACAGGAGGTCCCGCTACGTTTGGTGTACAACTAATGCTAGCGATGTTGGGTGGCAAGGTTGTCGGCACGGTGCAACTTGCTCCTTCAAAACATAAGTTGTTAGTTATTTAAAGTTCACACGTCTCTGTCTTTCACCGATGTACTAGGCTGATACTTCAGTGATCATACAAAAAGGAAAATATATATATGTATATATATATATAAGTGCCTCCAATATTATTCCACTTCTTCCATAGCAATTCTAAAATGGTGAATCTGAAATGAACTAGAGTTACACGACCTTATACCCTTGCTAAAATGATGTTTACCTCTACGACTGTACCGTAATTAAAGTGCAGGTTCATGACTTTTGACCTAGTAAAAAGCTCTGGGCAGTAATTTGTATCAATTGGGGCCCCAGCAGCTTGTGCTGGAACCCAGCAGTTTGTGGCGTTTGTTAAAAAATAATTGAAGGAGGATAACTCTAAAACCATTTGTTGGCCATTTGGTATGTAGGTAGCTTAAGTGATGCTTTGCATATGTAAATGGCATTTATCTAAATCAGATTTGCATAATATGACGTAACTCTATAACTTTACTGCGCTTCATTAAATGATCCAAACTATTGGCATATGTGAATAAGAATGAGAGCAAACTTAGCAGATGTTAATTATACAGAGTAGGACCTTATTTGCATAATTATGAAAAATGCTATTATTGGTAACAGTGTGGAATTTCATACTTGAAGCATTTGGAAAATTTGTGAAGGTGAAAAAACATTTTTGAACATAACTAATCAAATTACTCCTCATTTGCATAATTTATGCAATAAGGAAATATCATAATGAATTTTTTCGATCATATAAGAGAATGGAGAATATGACCAATTGATAAAAACATATTTTGGCGAAAGTTTGAGGTAATAAACGTGTTTCTTAAATTAATGTATGCAGACGTCAACCATGGCTGCTTAAATTACACAGGAAACGTTAAACTTTCCTTTCCAAAGGTATTTTGATTCTTATTACCTTTATCGGGCGATGTAATAAAAATCAAATCGTAGACCCGTTGACTTTCGTGTCGTATAACGTTAGTCGTGCTTCAGGAAAAGTAAGGTTTCAAAAAAGTATAGCGTACATCAGAAAGTATTTTCAATAAAACCATAGATAGCAAATGTACGTATTTTGCTACCTATCAAAAATAAAAAAAACATAATTCTACTAACAGCTGATCGACAGTTGACTGATTAACCTCTTCAATGATAGTATAATATGGCATACCTCCAACTGTAAACGACACCTTGCATGCACAGTCTCCACTACAATGGTTTCCCGAGCTGTCAGAAACAGTGAAGGTTACTTCGTAGGATCCCGCCGGCAAGTCCATGCCATTCAACGTCGGTGATTCATTTAGCCTACGTAGACACAAAAACAAACGTTGCTTACTGAAACTACACTATTCGATATGTTTTGCTTTGCTTTACACTTAATTTGTCAATTGTAACTAAAAAGTAAGTATGCTAAACGTCATTATTTGTTGCAACTGACCGATAATGATGAACGTACAAATTAGATGAATTCTGTTTGTGAGTACCTTAACGTTACAAACTTGTGAGTACCTTAGCATAGACTTTTGTGCGCTTCGCTTTGGTACATTCATCCATATGTGGTGTAAAATCTATTGTACCTTACACACCGGTACGTTTGCATCTCAGCAATGTCAGGATGAACGTTATTAATGACGTCTGCAATGTCACTCATATCAAACAAGATAAGTACACACTTTAATGTGGGAACCAATGAACGCAAAAGGAAGTAGCGGTTGCGCTTTGTTTTCTAACAAGAGTCTATAGCTCCGTGAAATTATAACCGTGTTTGGGGAGTGGGGGGTGTATCGTGCCAATAAAATCAAAATCAAAACAACTCAATACAAGCAAAATGACCAACAAGAGGTCAATGACCTTTTGCAACATATATTATGCGATCATACTGTGTATCTGTATCTGTACAGCCGGTATAACCGCCCCTAAGCGTAACACACCAGCTTCGCAGGCACACGACGCGGCAGCAGCTGGTGCTGAGCAGGCCGCCAGCCCGACCCGGAACGACCCCGGAACAGTTGGAGCCATAACTACCGGGTTGGGCAAGGTGTTCCACTGGATGATAGTGCGCGGAAAGAAAGAGAACCTGTATATGTCTGTGAGTGTTTGTTGGTAGGCCGGTATGTCAATGAGTTGCTCCCTCGGGTACCCCCTCCTGGTGGATTGCAGAAGACTGTCAGTCTGGATGTTTATCTTATTATGCACTATTTTGTAGAATGTTGTAAGGCGGGCGCTCCTCCTCCTTTCAGAGATAGGAGGCCACTGCAGGGCATTGAGCATTTGTAACACATTGCTAGTTTGCCGGTAGTCATTTGCTCAGTAACTGGAACACTTTGTATTAGCCTAGTATAGTATCCTTGTATGTTCCTTATGTATGTATGTCCAAGTCAAGTAGTGCATCTTTTGTCTCCAATTTTCTACATACGTTTGTTATGTGTCTGTTAAGTCTTGACCTGTACCTAACCCGTCGTGTCATGAATGTACAATAAAGGTATTTCATTTCACTACCTCCATGAAAAATGGAGGTATTGTTTTCGGCGTGTCTCTCTCTCTCTCTCTGTGTGTGTGTGTGTGTGTGTTTCCGCACATTTGTGGTCAGCATAACTTCATAACGCCTTTATGGATTGTGATGATATTTGGTATGCTGGTAGGTCTTAGGAAGACAAAGGTCACGGTCAAATATGGGCCTCCTGGTGGATGACCTTGGTACTGCAGAAGAACTTCCGGGTGTTGTATCTTTTGTCCTGAACATGCTATGGTCTTGACTTTTTGGTGACAGAAAGATTTTGCTGTCAGGAATAAGTGGTGTGGGTTTGGTCCCCCTACCAGCTTGTTCTGGAACTGCAGGGGACTTTTGGGCGAAATCTTTTAAATCTTTTAAATCCAATAAGTCCAGATAGGAACAACGTATTTTCATCATTTTTGGTAGGTGGGTAGCAAAGAGTGAGATGTACATGATTAAATGCATGTCTTAATTTGCATAGTCAACGAGGAAATTCTATAATTAAAGTGTTTTACATTATAGTACTTTCATACATGCAATATATGTGATCTATGGCAGATAGAACATAAACAGATACCAATTATGCAAATGATGGTTTAATTTGCATAATTAATTTCTGGTAAATGATGGCAATTCTATACCCTGTGACATGTGTAGGTTACTTAAATGTTAACAACAATATGCATGTATTATATTAATATAGAGACAATTTGCATAGATAATGAGGACATATTTAGATGAAATATTGCCAATATTGTAAGTTGAGTTTAGAACACCATAAATTGAACTGCATTATATTAATTGCCACCTTATTTCCATATTCAATGAAACAAATCATTCACATAAGGTCTCGGACCGGAGTTTCCCTCCGTATTTCGAGCAATTTGACACCCTCAGCCCGACGGGCTGTCATTTCTGTACTAAACGCGGGTCGGAATTTTTCACTCTTTTGGTGGAAAGGGGTGCCGTGCCGCTTATCAATACACTTGATTGATATTTTCTGCGCCCAATTTATTTAGGGGTAAATGAGGCACATCAAAGTACATTTTGAAAAAAGGGGTCATTTTTTCGTCATTTTTAACCATGGATGCATGGAAAAAACGAATTTTCCCAGGGTAACGGCTTAGTACTCGAAGAAGCTCAGAACCTAATGTTTCCAAAATTTGAATTTAATTAAAATCGATGCGATACGTTTATCGCTATCTTCGATGGCCCGAACACACCCAGAACGCATATAGAACGTACCATCCCGGCGGTCAGGCGAAAAGGCCACATAACCATCCGCGCGGACGAATACCAGGAAGTCTTAGCTGGACCACCAACATTACGCCACCTATAAAGGCTACAACTAACAGGCTTTTCAGAAAATACAAAGATATGTACACAGATATTACGATTTCAGGGATATCGCGGCCAAAACATACCATACAAAGTCACGTTTCCGGCGATTTACTGCGCACTTACTTAGACTCTGGTCAGAATTAAACTCCGACCCGGAACCTTAAGGAGATTAATTTTCATTAAAAAAATTTAATATTCTTCAGAAACATTATATCTATCATATATCCAAATTTGGCTTGTATGCGATCATTACTTTTCCCGCGGCAGCGGTTTAAAGTCATGTGAAAAACACTGTGTTCTATGGCTACTTTTGCCAAGACGCGGCCCCTAGGCAGCATTACAATGGAGAAATTTAAAAGTACCGTTTTTTGGTGTTTCGCTTTTTTTCAAATCAGATAAAACGGAAGGAAACGCCCGCTCTGGTCATTGGCTAGGGATAGATGTGGTTTTATCGTCCTTTCTGTGCTGCATACTTGCGGGAAACCTCTTTAAAGTTGGGATCGATGACGTCACGCAGTGACGTCATGCGTTGTCCAAGTTAAACAGCAGGGGGTCGCGTTTTTGCTTCACCGCTTTACATTAAAATGAAGAATACGTCAGATTTTGACCTTGAGTGATAGAACTGAGCTCGCACTTTCCGAATCAAACGAGTCCGACACCAAACTCTTCACTACTTTGCCGTGAATGGCCTATTAAGTATCACAGCGCACCTTAAATGTGTGAAAAACTGCGTTCTTACGAGGCGCAAAACACAATCTGGGTGATGCTGCCGTGGCTAGGAGCGATTAGTTGAAAAAATTGCTGCAAAGTTGCGTGAAGTACTTATTAGGCTACCACTTAACACCAGCCAACGAAAAGAAGTTCGCGATTTTAAGGAGCCCTGAACCGAAAATCAGAAAACCTAGTTTTGCCTTAAATAGGCCTAAAACAATCGAATTTTCCTGTAAAATGTCAGTTAAGTCACCATAAATGGAAAGACTTGGCCGAAATTATGCGGAAGTCAAATTTAGAGGTCGACTCACATGAAATGACATAGAAAGTGAATTCATTTGAGAACATTTTATCGTCCAGAAACGATTAAAACTGCCCTTCACGGAGAGTCGGGGGGGGGGGGGGCGGGCAAAGGGGGAGGGGGGCGCCTAGGACCCGACATGTATATCCGGACTTTTGGACCCCAAAACAGTACAACGGTGCGGTTTTTTCGCAGAATATGACAGCTTCGGCTGGAAACATTAAAATCAATCGAAATTAAGTCATCGATGACGTCATTTTCTGCGCATGCGCCGTCTTCTTAAGGTCTCGGACCGGAGTTTCCCTCCGTATTTCGAGCAATTTGACACCCTCAGCCCGACGGGCTGTCATTTCTGTACTAAACGCGGGTCGGAATTTTTCACTCTTTTGGTGGAAAGGGGTGCCGTGCCGCTTATCAATACACTTGATTGATATTTTCTGCGCCCAATTTATTTAGGGGTAAATGAGGCACATCAAAGTACATTTTGAAAAAAGGGGTCATTTTTTTCGTCATTTTTAACCATGGATGCATGGAAAAAACGAATTTTCCCAGGGTAACGGCTTAGTACTCGAAGAAGCTCAGAACCTAATGTTTCCAAAATTTGAATTTAATTAAAATCGATGCGATAAGTTTATCGCTATCTTCGATGGCCCGAACACACCCAGAACGCATATAGAACGTACCATCCCGGCGGTCAGGCGAAAAGGCCACATAACCATCCGCGCGGACGAATACCAGGAAGTCTTAGCTGGACCACCAACATTACGCCACCTATAAAGGCTACAACTAACAGGCTTTTCAGAAAATACAAAGATATGTACACAGATATTACGATTTCAGGGATATCGCGGCCAAAACATACCATACAAAGTCACGTTTCCGGCGATTTACTGCGCACTTACTTAGACTCTGGTCAGAATTAAACTCCGACCCGGAACCTTAAACTCTACATATTTCATGGAGGTATGAAATTCTGGAATTCTTGTTTCATTACGAGTCACCCGGGCGGCCCTGCGCTGGACGGCCTCAACCGCCTGTATCCCTTTAATTGATGGTATACGGGTCCCAGACGGTGGCACTATATTCCAAGTGGGGCTGTACCAGCGCTTTATAGCAAGTGGCCTTGACCCGAGATGGACAATGGGTCAGATTACGCCGGATGACCTTTGGAACCAGCTTTACTTACTGGCGTGATTGATATGACTAATTTGATTTAATATATTGATTTTAAGTACTCTTAACGCATATGTTTGGGACTTGTGTTATAATTGCCGTGTTTTTTCGAGCTTTCTTTCTTCACCTGGAATTTTTTGTCACCCGCCCCCTACAAAAATCAGTGCAAAAGATATTAGATAGCCTAAAAACACGCAAAAACCGTAAACATATATGCTTTGAGAGTAAGGTTTAATGACTTAGATATATAGGTTTAAGGGGGGGGGGTCAAGTTTGCTGTTCCAAGTTTGACAAATATTGGGAAAACATCAAATGTTGAATCTTCAATTGGAAGTGCTTCCTTCTTTGATTGTCAAATCATCGGACAGATGTTATGTATCCGAGATAAGGGTGGGACTTGACACCGGTTAGGACTTCATTAGCAAGAGAGTACTCGTGCTGTGTTATGATGGGGCGTCTTTTACGAGTTATATAAAGAATGTGGCACTTAGAGGGGTTGAACGACATAAACCAGCTGTTCTACCATCTTGTTAATGTATCAAGGTCACACTGTAGGCCTTGAGCGTCAAAAGGCTTGGTGATGGGTTCGGTAAAGTAGGCAGTCGTCGGATAAATAGTCGAACATGTGAACTAATGTCCTGAAAGTGAAAAAATGTACAAATTTAAAGATGTCATGAGATCTCATGAGATAAGAATTTCAATAATCTGCATTTTAGCATATTTTTCTTGTGGTAAGATTCCTTTTCTTATGTACCTTGAACTACAGAATTGGAATATTATTCTTGCAGTAAGAATAAGTTAAGATAGATTTTATTTCTAATTAAGATTGTTGTTCTTGCCATAAGAATACCAATCTCCCCTTAAGACCAGTAAACGTACACGCAGAACATTTTTCAGGCCTTTGAGATTTCTTGCACCAAGAATACCATTCTTCTCCTAGGACTAGTAATCTTACACCCAGAATTTTTCTTCGCCTGAGATTAGGATTCTTGCACCAAGAATGCCATTCTGTTCCTAAGACTAGAAAACCATTCTGTACACAAGAAAAGATTTCTTAAACTAAGAGCTAACTGTTCTTGTAGCACGAAAACCATTCTGCCCGCAAGAAAAGAAATAATAATAGTGCTAACTAAATAAAAAAGACAATACATACAATAATGTTGTATAGCAACTAAATGTTATTTTGAAAAGCCTTTTGACAGTATTTAGAGATCTTTATTACAATGAACAATGTATCTAAATCAAATATAAGATCAGTCCATGAACATTCTTGGAATGGAAACAGTTTAACAGTAACTTTCACTGCAAGATGTAACTAACAAGCCTTTTTATGATTTCAGAATACAGATCATATCACATTCTGAAACATATTCAGCAAAAGCTGCAGTTTTTGTATGATAGAATTGGCAAAGTAACACCCTTTAAAACACCTAAAAAACAGGAAAGACCTTTGTTAGATTGCAAATTGCATGCATGCACTAAGGGCAATAAAGTCAATTTAGGGTGCTAAAATACTATATAATTCATTACTTGAAGTAAACAATTGTATCATAAAGAAAACAATTATATCATAAAGCAGTAATACACTTTATTATACACCAGAGATATGATTTGACTTTGAAATCAATCCCAATGGCGTTGTAACAATATTTCTAATATGAAGTCTAAAAACGATGTCAACAGAGTTTTCTTCTGTATTGTTGGGGAGGGAGGCACACTTACCTTCTATCTGTTTTGTTTCATGCTTTTTCTGTTGCAAAGTTGGTTTCTTCAGCAAGCTGACCACGATCAGCGTTGCGTCACATGTATACAAGGTCCTTTTTGCCTTGATTTTGACTTCAAATCTGACATGAGTCAGTAACTGACAAAAAAAAAGTAACCAGTACGGCTTCCACATCAGACCCATCTGACACAAGTTCAAAACCCCCTAACTGCATTCTGGGATTTGAATTCACCAATCAGGGGTTCAGAAAAGGTTACATGACAAATATGGCTAGAAATTTAAGAAGAAAGTTCTTGAGTCATCTTGAACATTACCAGGCAAAATAAGAATCACCTTTCTTAAACTTTCCGGTATTTTTCTAAATGTTGCTAAGAAAAATAATAATGGCCTTCCTAGGGAGGAAAATCATGAATGTTTATAGAATGTAATTCTAGCCATAATAACGCTTATCAAAGATTTTGTATCTTAACTTTCTTGTTTTTTCTTATCAGTGTTTGTCAAGATAGATTAATTCTTGTATTTTCTTAAATGTTGCTAAGAATAACAGGAATGGTCTCTCTTAAGCTTTCTAGTCAAGAAAAAAAAGAAACTTCAAGAAAGAAATAGTAAACAGAGCTTTATATAGACTAATCAAAGATTTCTGTATCTTAAATTTCTTGCTTTTCTATTCAGTGTTTGCCAAGAAAAACAAGAACCAAATTCTTGTATTTTTTAAACCCTCAAACACCCGAACGGAGTCCATTTGGACCCCAGACGTATATTTTTATGTGCTATTTGAATTTTTTTAGAATAAAAATATTCCTCCCGTGACTTTGTCAGTAAACCTCTTCTACAAGTTCTCCAAAATTTGTTTGGAGATCGGCACAAATTTGAAAACATAACAACGGAAGTCTGATGTAAGACCGTCTGGGGTCCAAACGGACCCCAGGCATGTATTTGCACTTTCCTACACACGAAATTGTTCGGATGTCCTAAATATGTCTTCAAGTAAGCATTATTGCTTTAATATTATGCAGTTTGCCAAGTAACCTCAACGGGTTCATCGGGTTTTCAGAGGTTTGACAATTTGACAATCCTATGAGGTCAAAGGTCAACCCTATGTTCATGCCTGCAGGCCTCATCCTATTTTTGCATAAATTATGATAATGAGCTGGAATTTTTAAACACTTGATCATGCCAAAATAAACGTCTTAATATGTTTAACCAATATATGTGCAAAGGTCACTAAAAGGATGCAAAAAGGAATATAAAATTGGAAGGAAACCAAATGGGGTCCATTTGGACCCCGTTCGGGCATTAACGTCACAAAAAAAGTTCGGGTGTTTGATGGTTAAACATTGCTTTAAAACAAGAATGGCCTTTCTCAATCATTTTAGGTAACATAAACAAGAAAGTGTTTGACATATATGTGTATACACAGGAAAAACTTAAATCTGATCACTTTGATATCAGGTAAGAAAGATATCTTACATGGAGATTGAATAAGACAGTTTAACTAAGTTTGAGGGAATTATAAGATTAAAAGAATTTTGATCTTGTAAGTTAGAATCTCCACTACACATATTTCTTTACGGAAGAAAAAATCAAGATTTAAAGAAGCCTATTTGAGAAAAAAAAATTCTTTGTGCTAGAACATAGGTATGAAGAAAATTAATTTTTTCCTTATTTTTTTTTCTTATTCTCCCTCAGAGAAAAATTTTCTTTCCATAAGAAAATAAGAAAAAGCATTTTTGATAGTGATATACTGTAGTGAGCAGGTATGTTATCTGTTACATACTGACAATTTCCCGGGCCGTCTCGGTCATCAGCATATGTTGGTCGCGGTATGTTAACGTGGACGGTTGTCTGTCCTCGTGGAATCATGAGGTTCGCAACATGCGGGCAGGATGTAAATCTTGGTGGAGTTTTATCTGGGTAGAAACGCAAATGTCGACATTAATTTTCATTTCCATTTCAAAAGAGCATAACGTTATGGATGTCAACACAGCATTTAAAAGAATAGAATCTGTAATGCGTTTATGTTAATAGAAATGGGTATTGCTTGATACTGTAACGTTTCATAAATTGACAACTTCATTTAGTGCATACGTAGGTCTTGAAACGTTCCTTTTTGTAGAGACATACCTGGAGGAGGCTCATCATGACCTATATTGAAGAGACCTAACACACTGCCCACTACGGAACCAAAGGCACCGACGAAATCTCCTACGGCACTTAAGGCCTCAGTAGCACTTGCTAAGGCATCAGTAAACCCTCCTTTATAAGCCCTAGCCGGTGTATCGTCTGGAAAACAGAAGAAATGGCAGATAGTGGGTGCATTATAAAGAAAGACTTAACTTATAAATAACACTATTAAAAACTTTTATACATGTGTACATAGATGATAAACCGTTACATCACATTCATCAATTTCTGTCTGTTTGAACAAATCTTTCACTTAATGACACTGACAAATTGTCTGTTTGATACCTTTACATTAATGGCAAAAGATACAACTTGAAAGGCATCGTAATCATAGGATAGAATTAGACATTTTGTCATTACGTAGTACTATTACTGTTTTTGCACTATAATCTACAATGTCAGAGGTATTTTAAACACTATTAAACTATTACAAACGTTGTAAGGTATCACTTAGCAGCCCCTAGCCGTACCTTCTGCTGCTTGGAACCTTAATCCTGTGTCTGATCTCTGCAAAGCATGGGTGTCTTTCCGTGGGTCTGGGGTTTGCGATCTCCTGGTTACGAACCTTGTAGACTAATGTATGTGGTAGTCTCCTAATAATGTTGCTTACCATCTTAGCCTTACTTCTCCTAATGGCGTGGAGGGGTGATGCAGGGAATCGCCGGTAGGCATTTCACGTTAAAACCCAACAAAAACTGTTCATCTGACATTTTTATCGTTCACGTTTCACATGCTTTTGTAGCAACGGAGCTTATGTGGAAGTGTCTGGAAGAGGTCACTTTAAGACATCCACTGATGTCATCGCGGTTCTAGAATGATTTCGTAGTCTTCTAAATGCCTAGGCAGGGATTACTAATCGTAATGTCATATTTTTAGATAAAAAAACAACACTTCCGATGAAAAGAATCAGGAGCCTTCTCGACTGTTGCTCACTCTATAGTAATTTTTTACCGTAACACTAGAGCTAAATTTGCACTTTGCACCATTGAGAGTCAGTTTGTTTATTCTAAATGCACATTAAGTGCTCTTATGTAATCTCCAATCAGATCTTTTGGTGGGGGGGAGGCAGTATCAAATTGGCCAGTCTGTATCCAGTTCCACACCTTGGGTGGGGAACTGGATACAGACTGGCCAATTTGATACTGTCTTCCCCCCACCAAAAGATCTGCTTGGAGATTACTCTTATGTAGCTCTTTAACAATATTTACAATCAGATATAAGGTCGCCTTGAAGTGTATGAAGTGGAGATTAAATACTGTACTCTCCAAGCAGAGGTTTAGGTTTTGGGTTATCCTCGGGTGTTTTTAGACTTTTTATCGGGGTTTCTCTTTTTGCACTGGAATGGGTTTTAGGTTATTTAGGTTATTTTAGGTTATTTTTATACGGTGGAATTTTTCTTTCACCAAACCCGTGGGTTGGGTGAAAAAAAATTCCAGGGCAAAAAAGATGCCCCGATTAAAAAGTCTAAAAATACGCCAAAAATAACCTAAAACCCAAACCTCTGCTTGGAGTTAAAGATCGAATGAGACCAAGAACCCAGATAATAGTAGAATGCATTGTTTAACATACCTCTGACGATAGTCCGATAAATCTTGTTCACGCTTTCATCACACCAAAACTTCCCTCCGATGATTGGACTTCCATCAGTCGACAATATGCAAAAGGATGGAAGGCGACGAGTCTTAGAAATTTTGCCTGAAACTGCAAACAAGTTGCCTAGATTGCCTACAGCACAACTAGATATATACAGCTATCTACACGGAAAACCATGCATAAATATAGAATACAACACGGGGTATTCCGTATCGCCCGATGTGTCGGCCCGACCGCGAGTCGGATCGCCCGAGGCCGCAGGCCGAGGGCGATCCGACTCGCGGGAGGGCCGAGACCGAGGGCGATGCGGAATACACCGTGTTGTATTTTATTTATACCATACCCACCAAAGAAAACGCGCCTTTCAATGCAAGATGAGCCCAAAGTTGGTGCCACTAAACCCTAAAATGCAACAACATCAATTCCAACATCCGGATTCTGTATTCGAATTTTCGAAAGGGGCACACGCGGGTAGGGTGAAACGCGTTCGAATCGTCTTATGGAAGCCATGGAAGCGTTCGATAACGGGTTCCGGACCGGGCCGTACCAGCCGTCACGCCACGTACTAAATCGAACGCGTTTCGAACCGTTTTTATTTGCAGTTCGAATCGATCCGCGATCCCTAGCAACGCCGTTGCTAAGGAAACTCTTTTCGCGCAGCAGTTGGATGAAATTTCATCCGACTTTCACAGCTGCGTTGAGCCTGGTTTGTGGCATATTTACCTTCGTTGCGTTACATGTACCAGACGGGAATGCCATGTATTCTTGACATGATCAATTTTTGGAGGGTTTTACAACGTATTTTGTTAGATAAATGGTCATATTTGCTTAACAGTGAAATCGTCAAAATGGCGGTGCCGAACTGAGCTAAATTTTCGACGAAATTCACATTGGGGGCATTTACATGTAGCCCTCGATTCTGTCATATATGACCATTGAGTAAGATTCGTTGAATCTTTGACTATGTCTCTTGTGAAAATCTTGTTGGATCAAAATCTGGAAATGCTTGTATATTCATATCAACCGGGGCCACGTCCTCGGCCGTTTTACGCCAAAAGTTCTAAAACATTGGTTTAGTTGATTCTAGGGCAATCGGCGTTTTAGCACAAGTTGCGGTACTAATGTACCTTCTCAATATTGTCAAAGAATGCCTACAGACACAGACTACGTAAGTACGAACTGAATCAGCAAATGCTTTCTTACTCTTGCAGGTATTGTTACTAAAATCCAACGGTGCGGGTCTGGCGTCTGGCCTGTGGAACGCGCTTGAAGCCCGCGCTGTTTTTGGAACGAAAACGATGCCTCTGATGAGGTGGCCTCGCGCGATTACGAAGGAAGCTCATCACGTCCCCAAAATTGATAACAAATTATATACGGACAGAAAGTAGAGACTTCAGGCTATTTTACGCACTAGATTTCTTTTTGTTGTGAAAACTGAAATAAGGTAAAAACATCGGAGGAATTTCCACAAAAATCAAGTGGTTTCAGGTCATATTATCAAATGGGCAGAGGTTAACAATCGTTTTAAAAAGTCACTAGGAGTAAAATTGGAAGCTTAATATTCACAGATACAATGAAATAATGAAGATATATAGTTATAAACTCAAGCAACAAGCTTTGTAGTAAGAGGTTCCGACTCCCGGGTCTCAAAACGGCGCGCGGTTCGCCGTGAGAGTCAATCATAAATCTTAAGGTCAGATTTATATCACTTCGGGTTTGTGAATTGACTTGAAACTCGGAATCCATACACAGGAGACCATTGTTAACATAATTCCACATGGAAATTTACGTTCTACAGGGCCAGGACCTGTCCAGAGTAGGTGATAACTAAAAATGTCAAACCTGGGGCGTTCTATTCTGGAATCAAAATTATGACATGACCTCGCGCGTTTTGGGGGCATCTGCATGTCGCCCTCGAAATCGATAACAAGTTATATATCAACACAAACTAGAATCTTTGCTCTTTCAAACACACTAGATTTCCTGTTGGATCAGAATCTACAACAAGTTAGAAATGAGAAGGGGAATTCCACGAAAATTACCTGCTTTCGGGTCAAATTCTTGAAAGGATCACGGTATGCCATTGCTTCAAAAATGTATAGGAGTAACAAATGAAGCTTACACATTATCAATAAGTTAAAGTTAGGAAGATAAATGATTGCAGACCTCAGCTACAAGCTTTCAGGTAAGGCGTGTCGGTCCCCGAAATCATGGAACGGACTACTTTCTTTCGCGGAAGGAAAATAAAACTGCCTCGAACTCTCGACGTGGCGTGGCGGCTGGTACGGTGCGGCCCGGTCCGCAACCCGTTATCCAACGCTTCCATGGCTTCCATAAAACGATTCGAACGCGTTTCGCCCTACCCGCTTGTTCCCTTTTCGAAAATCCGAATACAGAATCCGGACGTTCGAATTGATGTTGTTGCATTTTAGGGTTCAGTGGCACCAACTTTTGGCTCATCTTGCATTGAAAGGCGTGTTTTCTTGGGTGGATATGACATAAATAAAATACAACACTGTGTATTCCGCATCGCCCTCGGTCCCCGCCCTCCCGCGAGTCGGATCGCCCGACGGCCGCATATCCGACCCGCGGTCGGGCCGATACCTCTGGCGATACGGAATACCCCGTGTTGTATTCTATATGTATATTGATACGCGAGAAATCTGTAAGACCCTTTTTTCACTGGATGGAGATAGCTTAGTGATCAAAATTTTATATGCATGAGTTCGATTTAAAGTACGATTTGAGAGATAAAAAAGACGCACGGTTTACATTATATACACAAAGCTGACATTATACAGTTCCTAAGTACGAATGAGATCTTGGTTGAGGGTTGATGGTCAATGATCCCCGCCTCAGTGAAAAAGGTAATTGTCACAAAACTTGGTAGGTACGTATGTCTTACGACCTAGAAATGATTAGATTTTGGGCCTCTGGCGACTTTTCTAGGTACTGCACAAGAATTCCTGTTTTAATCCGGCTGGACCAACGCCAAGAACATGAGGCTAAACCCTGGCAAGTGTAAAACTATGCAGGTCTGTTTCTCTCACACACCACCCCCCCCCCCAACCTGCATTAAACATCGATGGTCACCAGCTAGCTGTTGTCAGTGTAGCGAAGTGTCTTGGGCTGACATTTGAGGCTGACTTAAAGTGGGACGCTCACGTCAAGGAAACAACCAAGAAGGGGAATTCAAGGGCAATTCAACCCGCCCGTTGAAGATCTTCTTACAAAATATACTTCTTTCATCCGTCCTGTGTTGGAATATGCCGCGCCACTGTGGCATCCTGGTTTGACCAAAGCACAGAAAAGGAAGATTGAAAACATACAAAGAAGAGCCACCAGAATCATCCTTGCTAAGGAGTTCACGAACTACAAGTCAGTATTAGATATGCTACAGCTACAGACTCTAGAAGATCGTAGAATAGCCCTGTGCAGACGGTTTGCGAACAATATACAAGCTTCTACCCTCTACCGACACTGGCTGCCCCAAACCAGGGGTAGTGTCAGTGGGAGGATGACTAGACAACAAGCAAAACTTGACCAATTGCCAGCGCGCACAGAGCGGTACAACAAACGTACATTACCGTACCTTGTTCACATTTTAAATCATGAATAGTCTGTGAAATGTATTATTCAAATGACATCATTTAATGACTTTTTAAAACACGGAATGATGACCAGGATTTCATTTCACCGTCTAACGCTTTTAATCACACAATTCAGCCTTGTTGCTGTCAAGTGATGGCGCTGTATTGTGATTTGTGTTTGAAATAAAGCAAAGATATTTGTATTTCGTGACCTTGACTCTCCAAACAAATTGGACTACCCTTAAAGTTAGAACTCTTGCAATCCATTGTGGTGCCAATTGCCATCTATGAATGTGAGACCTGGAAAAGCACTACGGAAACAACTCAAGCTATGGACCCATTTCCGTCCAAATGTCTCAGAACCATCTTGGGCATCTAAGAGCAAAAGTCCCCCTTATCACCGTGATGGTAGCTGAGAGAAGACGTAGGTTTGCAGGACATGTAAACTACCAAACAATAGAATGACTAGGATAGCAATGGATTGGATACCAAAGGGGAAAAGATCAAGAGGAAGACCTAGAACTACCCTACGCAAAACAATTTAGAATGATGGGAAGAAACTGGGATTTGGCAACACGGAAACCATGGCTGCTGCGGCACAAAACAGAAACCTATGGAGGAGTACTGTTAAGTCTGCAAGTCGAGGAAATAAGGTCTAAGGTAAGGTAAGGTGACCTCGACATGTTAGGGCCAATGGTTTTGGGTGGTAGATAGCACTTGGGTGAAGAAGGAACTGACATCAGGTTGCTTGATTAAAATCTTTACAGAAAGATAGCTGATGAAACGGCTGTCACAGATTTCATGATTTTTAGTACGTAGGCGTAGGCAATGGCAATCTATCCATGTGATGTTCACAAACAGATAATTGCAAACAGACCGACGCTACTGGAAACATAACCTTCTTTTCGAACGAAACAAAATATCTGGTACTCACGTTCCAGAAAGATGACGTCGACCGGGTACAGCCCGAAGGCAACGCTGTAGTTTGAACATGCTGGTTCCAACCCGGACGGAAAGGGAAAGTTACCTTTGGCGAAAACCGCTAATGCTTTGATCTTGGCATCGGCGTAGGTTTCTCTTTCCTGAAACGAATGAACGGAAAACGTATACATTATATACGACGATAAAGAAAGCATCCGTACACTTATAACACATCAGTGTCAATCATGTGGCATGCCGTTTAATAGTAGTATCGATTGCATCATCCCTTAAGCGACGGTCACAACCCGCCGTACGTGCTTCTGCGTGCTGTCTACGTGCAAAAACGTGGGCAATCGTAGGGCATCCGTGCGTGGTGAGTACCACCTCCGTACGGAATACTACGGATTTGGGAGCACGCAGACACGCCGTAGAACTTTAAGTGCATGTAAAACTTATTCTACGTGCGGTCTGCGGATTTACCACCCGTGCGTGCGAGTACGTGCGACGCGCGTGCCCCGTACAGCCTATGAGCGTGCAACGTACGGACTCCGTGAGTCTAACTTCACTATTCTCACGTGCAATTGCTGTACGGACAGCGCACGAAGCACGTGCGTGCCACGACAGACGAAGATTACCAGACAAGACCCAAAGAAACGGGCCGTGGAAGACGACAGGGCGGCTAGTGATGATGAAGTTAACAGGAGGTGCACGCACTTACAACGTGCGAGTGAGTAAGGAAACCGTGCGTACGCCGCACGTGTAGGTACGGCCTGTACGCGGCAACGTGGCAATCGCACAGATATCGTACGTTGTTAGCACGTACAACTCACTTACGACTTGCGCAACGTACGATGCACGCAACCGCTGACGGCCAGGCGTGTCGTGCAGACCACGTACGTACACCTTGCGTAACCGTGCGAGTGGCGTACTCCCTCGGCGGGTCACCCTACGTTTTCAGAAAAAAACGGAGCAGACGTAGCCTCCCAAAAAACGTACGGACAAAAAGCACGTACGGCGGGTTGTGACCGTCGCTTTAGTGTTGGACATGTTAACCCTCAACAGTACACCTTCCTGGACTGATTAGTCTGTAAAACTGGGGTCCGCGCGGACCCCAAGACAGTTTTTTGCTAATTTTTAGAAATTATCAACATGATACCAGCTCATTTGCTTTGCAAATTGATGTCTGAACCTCTGAGTCCACATTACGTACAAATATCATACATTTTGACCTTTTCCTATTATTTGTTGAAGAAAAGACAAAAAGATAAAATATCCGATTTTTAAACCCTATTCAGACCGAGTGGTCTTTTGAGACCCGCGCCAACTTTAATCGCAAATAGCGCCTAAACGGCTTCGGCTAGAACCATGAAATTTGGTGGACACTTCTAAAATGTATCTGGAAAAAATTTCATATTAGTTAAATAAGTTGATGATTTTTTGTGTTGCCATGGCAACGGGTTTCCGACAGAAAGTTTTATGGGAAAAATCAGTAATTTTGGTTTAAACATTAAAATTTTCTGGGTTTTATATTAAATAACTGTTCCTTTCTGACATTAATAACATCTTACATAATCAACGATAAGTTAAATCATTCAATTTTAATAATATATGCTAATTTGATGACGTCATTGGTAAAAATCCAAGATGGCGGACCATATTATTAGCTCTGACGTCATATGACGTCATAATTACACCAAAGTTGTTTGAATTTAATTCTATTATTACACCATTCTCTGAAAAGTCGGTGGCCATAAGATAAGTGCATAAAATACATATAAAAACGGAAATAAAGTAATGTATAAGAACGCCAGTGTATCCATTACGATCGAAAGCCCGCTGGGGTCCGCGCGGACCCCAAAAGAAAATCAGATATAAAAATTTTTAGAAATGGGGGAAACTGAGTTATTTGCACTGTATTGAGGGACAACTTTGTGGGTTACAATTACCTGAAATTTCAGAAAAAAATCTTAAGAAACAAAAAAAAAAGCCTGAAAAGCCTAAAAAACGTTTTGTGCAACAAAATAGCTATAGACAAATATTGTTAGATCACCAAAATCTCTGTCTGACTCTTTGTAAATTGATTAAACCGCGATATTCATGCTCAGGTCATTTCCAAACAAGGGTACGGGTCCAGCCAGCCGCTTTTGGAAACGAAAGGTACTAACTTTAACTAATAAATATAAAAGACAACAGAACACACAAAAAAGATAAGTTTTAAAGATAATCATGAGTAGTAGTCTAAAAAGTTTAAAAGATAATCATGAGAAGTAGTCTATTTGTATCCATAAGAATTGTTGATTTTTCGTTCATACAAATAAACAGCCCGGCACGGGTCCGGGGTTTGCAAATGTGACCTTAACAATTTGCTTAAACCCAGGACTAAAATGGTGTTCAGATAAGAAACACGTGGCGTGGCTAAAGGGCAACCTCTCAAACATATAACGTGTATTCGGCCCCCGATTGACACTGGGCCCTCGCAAACAAAATTTACAGTACCGTGACCGTAATGCTGTCTCGCAGCCTAATAAATCAAGTCATGTAGACATATGGAAATGCAACTTTGCATTTGCTTATCAAAAGTTTGGTGCCGGAAATGATCTGTTAACGTTGTTGGGTCTAGGAATGGATTTATTGGGAACTGCATTATAATCCGATGATAAACTTTAAGATACTTTGATTTCATGAAAAACTAGAGTTCGGCGTTCTCATACCTCCATGAATATTTAGTGCTTTCGTAAATCTTATGCATGGTTACTGCCACCTGTAAATGTGCCACCTGTAAATGGCTTACAGTTACAATCCTGCCCATTAGTGAAATTTTAAGGTAAAATATGCACATGCAACAAGTCTTCATTATTTTGGCATGGACAAGGTATGATATTGTTGGCTACATGCAAGCTAGAGACTAATTTGTAGGTTTTATATACCCCATACCTTCTCCAAATCATGTTAACAGCTAAAAATAATCAATTAACCATTTTTCAAGGTAATCATGCAACCTATAAGAAACCCATTTACATGTATTATGTCAGTTCCTTACCCATTAGTAGTCTTATCCTTAACTCCTTTGCCACTTGTGGTTACTGTATTATGCTGAACATCAAAAGGCGTGACAGGGTAGCCTGGTTACCAAACCTATTATAGCCCCCGAAGGACTCGGGAGCTATAATAGGTTTGATAACTAGGCTAGTGACAGGGTAACAAACAACAGCATATTTTACAACATGACCAACACAGTCCGCTGATTCAGCATGTGACACATCCTGCGCATGCCTGAGGATGAACCTATTAGACTGTACGCCCTCTACGTGCCCTCTCATGGCAGACGAAGACGAGGCCGACAGCATGCCTCCTACTTCCAGTAAGTCCAACAGCTGCTGGGAGATGACTACAACCAACCGACAGAAAAGCAAGTCGCCAACCTTGCTCGAGACAAAGGGCAGTTGAGGGACCTTGCAGTCGCCTGCGCCGCAGCCGACCGATGATGATGATAATAAGTCTTATTCTAAGAAATATGGCCATTCTAGCAGTTCATCATAAATTATGGAAATAGGGTCCCGATTTGAATAAATTATGTTAAGTAATGTTCACCTTCACTGAACTTGCAAATATGGCAAGTACTGAATTTCCAGCAGGTTCTACTATATAAAATTGTGGCAATTTTCCATTAACCATGCAAATAAGGTTTTCATTTACATTATCAATATCTGCCAAATGAATGTTCCTGTCGTTCACAATCACATAAGTCACAAGTGTTTCATAGCCCTAATATCGAACAAAACAGATTTATACAATTTCCTCATTCCTCATCCTGATTTGCAAAATTATATTAGAACGAAAGCGCGATAAAATACATGAAGGATCGGAAAAACAAGATGCCTAGGTTTGGAATATACTAACTGTAGAAATGCAAATGTTACGACGCAAATTCAATAAAACAGCAATAAATCTCTGCTAATTAGCTAAACAGCAGCAGTCGCCCTGTTCTCATTCTTTCATTTCTTTATTTCTGTATAACCATTCAAATGGAGGGGGAGACAATAGGTGATGACTCACCTCTACACGTTGTCTCTCTTTTTCATCACATCTTCTCTTATCACATTTTTCGACACTGTCGTGACACTCTGATCATAATACAGTAAGCATGGTTCCTTGTAACAGTTTTTCCAGTAACAGTCCAAAATCAAATAACTTTGGTGGGGGCTAACACGGGTGAGGGTGAGTCTGTAAATCAGTGGCGAAACCTTGTGTTCCTTAAAAATGAAGCACAGAGATTATTTTCTACTCTAGACCAAAATGATTACTAGTATTAAAAAATAAGGAATATGAATGTTCATTCATCCAGAATACTACTGTCCCTCCGACAAAGGCATGAGATCTACGACATCTAGTTTTATCATATTATTCTCTCTTAAAAATTGTTTTTATTATAAAAAAAGCTGATAGGGGAACCAAACTCACGCGACGTCTTGCCGAGCACAAGAGCAAGGTCCAAAATTCAAGACACCAGCATGTCCAAATCGCGATATATCAAGACCGAAAGTTCCGGTGCAGTAAGAATCGAAAGCCCCAAAACCTCATCATTTCCAGTTTTCAAGTATGAAACGAATCCACCCAGCCGTTCTTGAGTTATCTTGTTGGCCATCAGACAGAATGACAGACAAACCCAACTAAAACTTGTAATTCATTACCTCATACCTTCGCAAAACGATGTTAATTTTTATGACTGATGAATTATAGATTCCCCCTGCTCAATATGCAAATAGGATCCTTATTTGCATGAATTATATTAGATGATCATATTTTCCACCCTGACAGTCTTATCTTAACAAAAAGGACAATATAGCATTTCCTCATATATTATACAAATAAGATCCATATTTGAATGCGCTATGTTTGATAATGTTCCCTTTCATTCATCTCACATACTGACGACGATCCATCATCCGGTCTTGAGTTATCCTCCATGAATTGTTTTTCAACAAAAGCCCCTGCAGTTCCTGAGCAAGCTACTTGGGGGCTAAAACTCACGTTACTTCTTCCCCCGCACAAGAGCTACCTATCATTATAGCATGTCTAGATCATTAGATATCAAAACCGTAATTTCCGCCGCAGTGCCATTACAAGCTGCTAGGGGGACAAAAATACTGTCATTTTCAGGTCTCTTGAAAACTCAATCGCCTAATAAATATCAAGACAATTCATGTAAGCCTTCTCGAGCCATCGTGTTTACACACACACACACACACACACACACACACACACACACACACACACACACACACTCACACACACTCACACACACACACACACACACTCTCTCTCTCTCACACACTCTCTCACACACACACACACACACACACACACACACACACACACACACACACGAACGCCTCTAAAAACATATCCTTCTTGGCGAAGGTACATATAATATCTATGAAATTTCATGGAGGTAATTAAGCGAACTGTCCTCTTGGCAAAAATACACAGGCCTGCGATGTAATTTATTTATATACCCGGTACCCACCTGTATATAACCATGTGGCAGCTGTATGCATCACCAACACGTGTGACTACATGTGACACGTGGATAAATTTAAGCTATGGGCCTTTTTCCCATGGCCCACTTGGATGTTTTTACCGTATCATATATCGACTTCATGATCCGTGTCGAAGGTTATGGGTTGAACTTGGCGGGCGTATTTTAACGATTTAAAATACTTATGACCCTTTATCTTTTAAAAATGGTTTACTGGAAGTAGGGAGCTCGAGTGAATTAAGCTAAAGTGAAACGACGACTGGGAGAGAAAAGCGTAAAATTGAACACGGAAGTATTATGTCATCAAGCCTGTCAACCAAGCCGGTTTGATCCGATAAGATCGATCGGGATTCAATAACTCCTTGCAATTTTACCACTTTCTGTCAGGGGGAGCAACTACACGCGGAATGGCCGGGCCGCTTTTTTATCCACTGAAATTTCTGTTGAACATGCAAGGATTTAGCCTTCCAAACACAAGCCGAACTCCACCCAAACAAGATTAGGTGTAGGTCGGCATGTGTTCAGAAAGATGTTTCAAAACATTTAAAACATTCGGGGGTTGATTGAGAATTTTAGGCATGGTGGCTGGTGTTCGTAAGTCAACTATAATTAATTCTTATTATTAATGGTTAGGTTGTTATATTTATGTGCTATATTGGTTTTATGCTTTACAATTTATGTCAGAATGTTCAGTTGTTGATTTCCTTATATATGTTGTTAATTTAGTTTAGATTGTGTGCAGTTGCTTTGCTTAAGTTTCTTTATTTAACTTTTAAGTTGTTTATTACATGTATGTTGTATATATGTTGTATGTGCCATGATCCATATGAGGCAAAAAGCAAATAAATAAAGTTTACAACTACAATAGATAGTTTTCTGGCTGTGTTCGGGGGTCAAATTTGAATCAAATTTAATTCAAATTCGTTTCAGTTCGTGCATAAAGGTAGGCGTGGCCTAAATCTGGTCAGACTGCCCCCGAACACCAACGAGTCACGTTCGATTGACGTTCGGGAGCAAGGTCGGGGAAATGGCCGACAGGGGCTGGACAAGCCCGGACCGGGTCGCTTATCACACCAACCTTGACTCTGCGGGCTACGAACATCCAAATGAAACTAGGATAATTAACGACTGATAAAGCAACGGTCACAACCCGCCGTACGTGCTTCTGCGTGCTGTCTACGTGCAAAAACGTGGGCAAACGCAGGGCATCCGTGCGTGGTGAGTACGCTGGGGAGTACGGATTTGGGAGCACGCAGACACGCCGTAGAACTTCAAGTGCATGTAAAACTTTTTCTGCGTGCGGTCTACGGATTCACCACCCGTGCATGCGAGTACGGGCGACGCGCGTGCCCCGTACGTACCGTACGAAATACGCACGTGTGAGTACGGCTGGAGTACGGCCTCCTTACGGTAAAGTTGCAATCGCACAGGGATAGTACGTTGTAAGCACGTACAACTCACTTACCACTTGCGCAACGTACGATACACGCAACCGCTCACGGCCAGACGTGACGTGCAGACCACACTCTTACACTTTGTGCAACCGTGCGAGTGACGCTCGTCGACGCCTCTCCTTCCCCACGTTTTCAGAAAAAAAAAAGTAGCAGGCGTAGCCTCCCAAAAAACGTACGGACAAAAAGCACGTACGGCGGGTTGTGACCGAGGCTTAAAGGAGCCTGTTAAAGGTAAATAAGGAGCCTAGACTTCTTCCGTAGATCAGTCACAGAGCGCAGGATTGATTATAACAAACTGCGTTATATATCTGTTGACCATGTGTCCATTTTGTCAATGGTTAATAACAGATCCCAACTGACTCACATGCCCAAAATGCTGACGCAGAGACACCAACACACACACACACACACACACACACACACACACACACACACACACACACACACATAATGGTAAAAATAGGTAAAATGGTAAATGGTCCCAGTGCATGTACTTACCTTTATGATATACATATATTATATACCTTTGTGTATGTACCCATGGCATATGTATCTACTTTTATGTACATGACACCAAATCAAAAATCCATTCCGTAGATTGCTGCATCTATACAGTGACAAAGCCATTAGCCTTTAGTTAAAGGTTTTACCTTGTAGACGAACCTATTCTTCCTTTATTAACACCTGAATTGACTAAACGTATCTTACCTTTAGCGTATTGTCGGATCGCGACCAGACATGCTGCTTCGGCACGATAAAACAGGTCTCTGTGACCGCATCGACGGTAGTCAACAGATTCTAATGGAAAAATGATAAATAAACATCATGTAGAACATCCTTAACAACAAGCTCGCTACATAATAATGACAATTAACCGCTAAAAGTTGTCGACTTTTTCCCTCAACAACGTTGCTCATTGTTACCCTGCACAAAGGTGGCACTAAAGCTGTACCAAGAAAAACTGGATCTGAGTTATTTACACCACTTTGGTCTCAGTTAACTGTTTTTACCTGAATATGTTTTAAAAAAACTCATATCCGAAATTGATAATGGTGAAAAATTACTTGACGCAAGTTTTGGTGTGACTGAAATGCTTATACCACACTGGAAAATATTCTTAATGTTTACAACTCACTTATCTGGTACAGCAACAATTTGGTTATTATCAGCAGACAAACACACACACACACACACACACACACACACACACACATACACACAAAATACACTCACGCACGAAGATTTGAACAAAATGTCAGCTTCGTTGAAAATAGCAGAAAGTACTCGTGACAAATACAAGCGCGGGCACCAAGCAGCCTGATAACGAGAGCATTTACATCACAAATCATATCCTTCACAGCGAAACCAGCGGAAGAAAAAATGCATTTGAGACTGTCATCTCCCCAGTTTGGTCAATCATACCAGGTCACTCCTACTCTTCTCGACAAATGCCCTCAAACCTATTGAACGAGGCTTAAGGCTCCCTTATACAAAGTATTCATGACCCCTCTGCCAAACGAATACGGTCTTTTTGTTATATAGTTGCTTTACTTGCCCAAACTGGGAATCACTCCCTCCCATCTATCTCTTGGGAATTTGATCCATATGGCCAAGCAACGGTCAAGTTCGATGAATTTCCCTTTCTTTTCACATCTTGTCATTAAGCACACTGAAAAGAATTTGAACTGTCCCAAATAGAAATTAATTTAGAAAATTTTTTTGCCCATCCTGCTCATGTATTTTATTTGTCTTCTATCCCTCATGCTTACCTGCTGTCGACCTGGGTTGAGAAAAATGCTGTCGAAGAGTGCACTTTCTGACACACGAAAGCAAACGAAGCAGATGACAACGATGTACACTACTTGGATATTCTTCATCATGAAATTCAAACGAAAACAACAACGGAACAGTCACATTCTCTGTGCCGCAATCGTTACGTTTGATTCAAATAAGTAATCCTTGAATGGACTTTCGCATTTGAAGTTTACACTGTTTACCATACCGCTACGTTAGTCATTGTTTGAATAATGGATTATCTCAAAATACGTGATGCAAGAGGTAAATGAATGTGACATGCATGTAAACACAATATTATGGAGCCCTTGCTGAGTGTCACTTTCTAGGCTCTGCATTGTGTGTTATCAGACTGAAATGTGCTGACCATAATAAATAGAAGACTGAGACATCACATAGTTTTAAACCGCTCAAAATACTTTATTTACTTTACGAATGCCAACAGGTGACAAATTGTTTGTAGCTACGTGCAGTAAAGCATGTCTGATGCAATCCCTCTCTAGTATTGCGTAACGTGCCTGTTAAACAGAATCAGCAAAATTAGAACTTGATGTTAAATATCTCTTAGCTTAGATGTTAAATATCTCTTAGCTTAGCTAATCACAAATTGACTTTCTAAAGCAGTCGTTTTAGAGTGAGCTAGTCAATTTAAGGATGATATTTGATATAACTAAGTAAGATAGTCCATGCACTGACTCATGCCCATAGCCAGAATTTTGGTTGGGGGGGGGTGCTTCTCCCCGCTAACCAAAGGACCAGCGAGCGCCGAAGGCGCGAGTTTCTTAATGGGTTCGGGGGCATGCTTTCCCGGAAAATTGTGAAAATTGAACCTTCTCAAATGGTATTTCCTGCGTTTTTAGACGATCTCAAATGAAAAATCAGAGATAACTCTCCATTCAATGACAAGGTGGAATAGCAATGACAAAGAGCATTTTTTTCTTGGATTCCAGCCCCGGCGGTGATACAAATAAGCCCACCTTTAAAAAAAATCATGGGGCTTTGGATAAAAAGTGGGCACTTTGAGCCTTGCGTGTGGGGGGAGGGGGGGGTGCGTCGGAAGAACTTACAAATTTCGTTGAATGGTAATTAATCTATGATCATCGATATGCCGTACGACATATAACATCTGACAATTTGGTCAGTTTTCACTGCAAATAACATCTACATTATCTTCCAAACACAGGTCACGCCAAGACGTGCAGATTTTGGAGAATGAAGAATTCTCTAACTCTGCTAGGTACTGAAGTTGGATACTATTTATAGCATCAATACTGGTGCAGTTGCCAGGGAAGTATCCAGAATCACCCGCGACCTCGTCAACTTCTGAACTTCGATCTGAAACAGAAAAACAACCGACAATGAACGGTAGATCAATATTTACTGCCATTAATGAGTTGTGATAAAAAGCCTATCAATCACACATGAAAGGACCGAAAGGATAAAACTATTCGGAATATTTTGAGGTTATCTTAAGCTTGTTGGAACAACGTGTGGGAACAGTCAACATGTTACCCCCTGTAAGATCCTGCCAGCAAACATTAGGCGGTCAAAGTTCTAGAATCCTCTGGTTCCTAAATTCACGGGTTCGACAGACACATGTTGGCATACGGCCTTGAGTAAGTGAGTGAGTGAGTGAGTGAGTGAGTGAGTGAGTGAGTGAGTGAGTGAGTGAGTGAGTAATCGAGTGAGTGTGTGTGAGTGAGTAGTTGAGTGAGTGAGTGAGTGAGTAATTGAGTAAGTGAGTAATTGAGTGATTGAGTGAATGAGTGAGTGAGTGAGTGTGTGAATGAGTAGTTGAGTGAGTGAGTGAGTAATTGAGTAAGTGAGTAATTAAGTGAATGAGTGAGTGAGTGTGTGAGTGAGTGAGTGAGTGAGTGTGTGAGTGAATGAGTGAGTGAGTGTGAGTGAATGAGTGAGTGAGTGAGTGAGTGAGAGTGAGTGAGTGAGTGTGTGAGTGATTGAGTGATTGAGTGAGTGAGTGAATGAGTGAGTGAGTGATTGAGTGAGTGAGTGAGACATCGTGGACATGATGTATCTACTGTTTTTTCGATAACAGAAAGCATTTTAACACAAGGTCGAGAAAAACAGAAACAAAATATAGAAGCATGTTGATTACTATACATGTACTTGAACATGATTTAATTGGTATAAAGACAAGGACAACACAAACGACATAGCGATAGCTTCACCTGAACACGGTACTGTAGCTGCAGGAAGCCATGATCCATGGGCCCCACACACGTACAGCTGATGCAGCTTGTCCTCCAGTCCCCTCGGCACAGTCCATCCCTGCTGACAGAAGGCCTTACACACACGGCCCAGCCTCGTGATCCAGCCGTTACAAGCTATGGCTCCATGGACCGGGGGAGGCAGTGCAGGGCAGGGGTGAGCTATGGAGGAGGAAAGAAAAAATAAAGTTTCATTTATCATAACATCTCATTCTCTGCCATTGTATGAATTAAAACGTTTATTCCATGTTCTCTTGTCTGTACAATGTTTATTAATCCATTGTTCACAATTGAAAATGCAATTGATTCTGTGATATGATTCTACAATTGATCGACAGTGGTATCCAACCCAGGTGTGGCTATACTGAACTTGAGGATTTCTGCCATCAGCATTTGATTTCAATTTAACATCAGTTAATAACAACATTTTTTTTTTGGTTACACACTACTGTAGTGACCCAAATTGGTGATGTTTGCTCCATCCACGAGGCAAAATCAGTGAATCACATTCTTCTGCAAAGTTAGAACCGGTGGGAACTTCTAGCCCCCAACCATCATTTGATTAATTAGAGAACACAGATGTGCAATGTAGCTTTATACTAAATTTCAGGTCGTTAGTTTTTTTAATATCAAGGCTCAGGCCGAAACTTAAGTAGGCGAAAGTATACATAAAATGATTTTAAAGACCTGCATTAAAAAGATTAAAACGACTGTGGTTATCTGTTAACGTTACGTCCTGCCAATTTTTAGGTCATTTGGCCCCAAAAGAAATTGAATGCATTTAAAGAAATTGCAAAAAACACCGGGAAAAATACTTGTCCTTATATCATAAACGATTCGAACGCGTTTCGCCCTACCCGCTTGTGCCCCTTTCGAAAATTCGAATACAGAATCCGGACGTTGGAATTGATGTTGTTACATTTTAGGGACAAGTGGCATCAACTTCTGGCTCATCTTGCATTGAAAGGCGTGTTTTCTTGGGTGGGTATGACATAAATAAAATACAACACGGTGTATTCCGCATCGCCCTCGGTCCCGGCCCTCCCGCGAGTCGGATCGCCCTTCGGCCTGCGGCCGTCGGGCGATCCGACCCGCGGTCGGGCCGATACCTCGGGCGATACGGAATACCCCGTGTTGTATTCTATATATACCTTTGGTATAGAGTGAAATAAATAACAAACTTACGATACACTCTTATTGTAAACTCGCAAGAAGATCTCAGGCCGTTGGAAGGCTTGGTCGCGGTGTACTGGATAACGTACTGCCCCCATGGAAATATCTCTTCGTTGTTGGCATAGTTCGATATTACATTGACTGTCTCGTTCCTGAAGTCACTAAAGATCGGGGGTTGCCAGGTCACAGTTTCTCGGTTCTCAACTGCCGTTATATTTTGGCCAGGTGGACAAAAGTCGATAAGCGGTGGTGATATGTCTGCGAAGGGAAGACAGCGTCAGGGTTTTGTGTCATCTTTGTAATTAAATGGACACGGTGATAAGTTTTTAGTGATTCTAGGTGAGAGAATTTTTTGTGACTGTAAATTTTTAACTGTAAAATGTAACAAATGAACTTTCATGATAGTATTTTAAAATACATGTAAACGCGTTCAAGTAAATATATATGTTTCATATAGAAAATTTGAAGTTTCGAAATGAAATGCAAATGGATTAAAGAAGTGACAACTATTAAGTAACTAAAGCTGTCTGTCTATTATCGTGCCACTTGGTGCTTTGATAAATGAAATATTGTATATCCAGCATCCAGTATATGATGCCGTTTATTCATGATAAACCTGTAATTACGGGGACAAATCATACCTGTTTCACATCTTTCTCCCGACCATCCTTCCATGCAGTCACACTCGTGCTGCTCGATGCCATTAATGCATGTCCCCCCATTTTGACAAGGATTGCTATGGCACGTGTTGCCGACTGTGTGGGAGAAAAGGTGGTAAACTAACTGGAATAGCAAAAGCAATGTGCACTTACGTAACACTTAGGTTGATAAGTTTTTCTTTTACTGTAAAATATTTGGATTTGAAAGTGATCTTGTTCAAGTTCAGCTCACTAAGAGCATGTAACTTTTTCTGGTCTTGGATAAAATGGTAGACGCTGCGCCCTGTATTCACAGTTTATTGTACAGTGGAAATCCCCCTAGCTCTCTTGACAAGCATAATGAACAGTGGACCACGGCTTAACGCCCAACCTTCATACCTCCGTCACACAGCAGAAATATCGATCGTCCGACTGGTCCGCAAACTCCAAATGATACTTTTGGCATGCTGATTGAAGGGGGCTTAAGGATTGAAGGGGGCGTATTTGTTGATCGCCAGAATGCCACCTGCTTTTAAATTGACACAAACCCGAGTGTATTTCTGATCCAGAAATCTACAGTAGATACATTGGACGGGGCTCGGGCGATGGGCTTGGAACAGGATGAAGGGTCGTTGCCCCATTACTGCATTAGAAGGCAACGTTTAAAACAATTGTGATGATTTAGTTTATAGGGATTAATGGGACGGACGGTCAGAATAAAGAAGGAATCCTGTTATAGATTAAAAATGCTACAACAGGAGCCATAAAAATTGACTATACATGCTAATTACTGTAATGAAAACTGCTTTAACCAAGTGGGAGTCGGCCAAAACTGGCTCGTGTGTTGGCATCCAGGTTTCTCAGGCATGTCGAGGCTCACCCGAAAATGCAACCAAAACAAACAATTTTAAAATTCAGTTACAATTCCTATTTTCAGTGAAATTAGAAAAATCATTGCCCCGGAAGGGCGTACACGCAATGATTTACATCTATAACCATTTCCGTCATTTATACTTGTTTAGTACGAATTAGGGCAAATCTTGTCGACTACGAAGAGTGGGGCAAATACGAGTAGTACAATGCAAAATTTAACTTCAAATGCATAATATCTACCTTTACTTATGGTCTGCTCTCAGACTGTTAATTCTTACACATTCATATAATATGATTATACAGCAGTCTAAATTCCTCCTGCTATAAAATTGCAAAATGATTTAATCCAACACCAGTTACCATGGTGATAGACTAGATTTTCTGGGTCAAAGGTCACTGTTTGGAGAAGAAGAAGAGGAAGGAACTGAGGAAAAACAATATGTTTTATGTAGTGTGAAATACCATGTTCTCCATTTTTAAGGCATCATTTTTTCGGGCTCATTTTTTCGCTCGCTTGGATCAGCTTCGGGGTGCCCAGGGGTAAAACTAACTCAGTGTAGCCTTAAGAACTCTTTTATAGACAAAATAGCTATACTTTTTGCGACAAAATCATTTGGTAGCCAGCGAGCATCAGCGGCCGATTCCAAGACTTGTCGGCTAAGCTATTTCCTTGCTGAGTGATGGACGAGGCCTGCGATCCTTTCCAAAAGTGTGCATGTCAGGTGAGCGGTTACATCTGTTAGAATCGACAACCTCTTGGTCCAGAGGCAGGGTCACTAACCACTAGACTGAATCTAGATAGCAAGCAAGATTAAAAAAACACAATTGTCACAGCAGATGTTTGGCTCGCATAATTCATTGCTATATAAGTAGCATTGAATACATACTTACAGAGGCATTGTGGTTTTGATGCCGACCATACTCCATTTGACTGGCAGTAAGCATTGCTTTGCCCCACAAGAACGTAGTGCGTGTTGCAGCTGAAGTACACATAATCGCCATACTGATAGCTGCCGCTCACATGGCCGTTGGCAATAGATCCAGGATACCCACAGCTTACACCTTGAACAGAATATACGTTTATATTAGAAACATGATTATAAATACAGCAAGGAAAAATGAACCGAAAAAATTTGGCCAATGTGTCATAGAACGAGAGAGTAATATCAATAAGTTGAATTTACAAAGCAAGACCATGCTTACGTATATTACACGTAGTCCCTTGCCAGCCGTTATAACACGAGCAGGTGTAGCGAGTATGGTACTCCCGACAAGTCCCATGCCTACACGGATTGCTGGCGCATGCATATATACCTGGATAAGAGTAACCATGTATGGTGAGCGTAAGTTACTTTAAGGGCAGTAAGAACAAAGCAAATTGTATTGAAGAGCTAAGGCTGAAGTGATTAATAATCCTTAGCTTGTTATATTATTTATACATGTATTCACAAGATGTGATGTCCATTTCGTCGTTCTGTTTTTTATCCTATTCATTTCATTTAGGACCACTCGCCAAAAAAGGTATAATTTCGAATTTCCCAATACTGTCAGTATTAAAAATCCCCGGGATAGGGGGCTTGACTGTGCAGCAACGGATGCATATTGATCAGTAAATTTTCTTTTTTCGTCAAAATGCTAAAGTGGTAAAGTAGTAGAGTACCTGACCTGAGTAACTGATCTTTAACTTTTGAAATTGTGTGATAACCATTGATGAAAATATTTACTTCAGGTGTGGTATCCTAGCTTCACCAAACTACAGTGTTTTCTGCAAACACTTTTAATTTATGATATGGTATATACTGCTTGCACCAAAAAGTACCCTGGTGGTAATGTGTAGAAAATTAAATTTGATATTGATTTAAGCTCTCTGACAAAATATGGAGTCAGGATAAAAATCTATAGCACCATTTGCTTGTGTTTCTAATATCAGGTGGTTCTGCCGTCTTCTATACACTACTGGTTTCGCCTCAATTTCTTCAATTTCTTCTAGATATAGATAAAACATAGCACAGTTTGCCTAATCCTTTTTGTAACTTAAGAGTGCATTTAACCCCACTTGAGCATGAATATGCAATAAACTTCATTGTCATTGTCATTATTCGAGGGTGTCTTGATCCGTATATGTTCTAGAACAAAATAGTCCACATACACAAAGCAATGCATGCCAATGGTGAATATGATATCAACGTACGTATGTTTCATTCAATATTAACTCGGGAAGCAAACATTTTATGGGTTACACATTTTGTTTCCAACTTCACTTCAGAAGTACCCAGTGTTAGCCCTTGTTTAAAAGAAACTTTTAGACATTGTCTAGTATATGGAGTGCTCATATTTTGTCTAAAATATATTTAGCACTTACGGTCACAATAAGGTGGGGTGTAGCCTGGTCGACAACTACAGACATTAGGCCTGATACACGTACCACCGTTGCGACATCTCGGGCTACAGATTGCTGAAAAGGGATGATAAAGGAAATCAACAGCGTACGTTGAAAGCAGATTGAAAGGTCACAAATTCAACAAAATATCTATGCTTTCTTTTAAGAATTAATGATGGATTTCGTCCTTTTGAACACATTGATATACTTGGTTGTTAATGTATTTGAGAGCTTTTTGACAAAGAGTGGCGACAGCCTTTTAACTCCACTTTTCCCTGAATAAACAAGTGGCAGATAAGGTAAGACTAGCTAAGTTAAAAAATGTTTAAATAGCAATGCAGAGGAATAAGATTGCTTTAGACTTACGACTATTACAAGTAGAACCCTGCCAGCCATCACAGCATCGGCGACTACTCCGGTATGCCTGTCTGTACACCGGACTAGAAAATAGTTCCAAAATAGCAACTTTTACTGTACTGTGGTCGACACCAATGTAAATGGGTGTAATACAAATTTAAAAAGCATTGTATTTTAGATGTCATTCTTATTTTAGTAATTCATTTTTCATGTTTTTTCCTGTACCTAACAAGACAAAATGATTGCACCCATTCATTCATATTATAAGATATTAAATGCTCTCGATTTGTCAGGCGATTTTTGCCTTGATCACTATCGTTGCTTTATTGAAAAAAAGTTTGCAGTAGAAAAGCTAAATTGTCCCCACTTTTACAATAGAACAATATTCGATTTAAGTGGCCTCAAGTTGATAATTGGCTTATTGACACAAATAGGTCACTTTGCTTCCGAATTAAAATAACAATGAAAAGACGGTGACATAAAATTCTACAACAACATTTAAATCGCATGATTTTCTTGATTATATCATCGATTGGTTAAGTTGGCAAATATGCATTGTTTGCAGATATCCAATTTAAGGTTCATACAACTGCAACTGTTCCCTTTACATCAATATAAACATTAGCTTACTGTCGGTCGGTGCACTGACTCGCCCAGAAGAAACCACAACTATCGTAGGTGATCAGGTAGGTGAGAACCGCATAGCTCTCTGAGACATAACAGTATCTGGAACTGTAGAAAACATGGTGAACAAGTCGATTTCATGTTACTTCTGAAATGCGTTGTATACTTTTTTACCGAGTTGTATAAACTGTTGAAAATATCTTGACAGACGTGCATTTAAAAGATGCTTATCACACATCATGTGTACATATACGCGGCTTGTGCGTGAAAGGCGTATCTCTAGAGAAAAGCGCAAAAATAATACTTCTCATAATTGACTAAATATACAACTAGAGTTCCACGATCTCATACCTTCGCTAAATGATGTAAACCTTTATGACTGAGAAATTATAGATTATTCACCCTTGATTATGCAAATAGGATCCTTATTTGCATGAATTATACCAGTTGATCATATCAAGACAATCTTATTTTAACAAAGAATGCCTTTATATCATTTCCTCATAAATTATGCAAATGATGTTCTTAATTGAAAAAGTTATGCTTGATGCGTGATGTTTTCACTTATCTTACAAACACCCCTTCACTTATTGATGTCTTCACTTATCTTACAAACACCCCAATTATGAAATTCCAGGCAATTACCACTATGGCATTACGACATTTTATCATTAATTATGGAAATTAAGTCTTCATTTGCATAATTGATATCTGCCTGTGTTTCCCTTGTTCTCAATTACACAGTCACAAGCTTGAATAGTCCTATTATTAATGCAGCTGATTTAAAGAGTTTTCTCGTTAATTATGCAAATTACATCTATATTGCATTATTATGATATCATTATGTCAACCATCACTTAAGGTTCCGGGTCGAAGTTAAAGTAAAAAAAAACTGCAAAAAATATATATTTTTCGTATCCAAAATTCACATTTAACTACAGTTTCTACCCAAATTATAGAGTCAACGGACAATAACCAAAATGCTATCGGAAGCTGGCTGGAAACTCCGTTGACTGATGTAATGAAATTTCCAGGCGTACTTTTTTTGGCGGAGTTGTAGCCCTTCGGTCTGAGGGTGTCCGCCGGATCCAAAATCGTGAAAAAAAACTCCGAGACCTTAAGTTACCTACATACCAAAAAATCACGACGATTCGTAAACCAGTTCTTGAGTTATTCTCCTTTTAACATTTTTCAACAAACGCCGCTGCAGTTTCAGAGCAAGCAGCTAAGGGGTTCAAAGTCATTTTACTTCTTCCCCAGCACAATGGCTACCTTCCATCCAAATTTCGTGATCCTTGCATGTCTAGATCGTGAGATTGATCGAAACCGGAAGTTCTGCGGCAGTACCATGACAAGCCGCCAGGGGGGCCAAAATCTAATCATGTTGAGGTCTCATCAAGACTCTTTCTTTTTTTCTTTTAGTCCTCTTCTGAGCCAGCATGGCTCTTAAGGCAGAAGGAAGGTCTTCCATCTGGCCCGGTCCGCTGCCATCTTTGGTGCCTCATCGAGAGTGAAACCATGGCTCCGTACTTCTTTGTCGATGGTTCTTCGCCATGTTTCCTTCGGTCGTCCTCTAGGTCTCCTGCCCTGAGGCGTCCATCTTAGAGCTGTTCTAGTTATACTATCTGGTGGCATGCGGCATATGTGGCCTAACCATCTCCATCGTCTGTTTATCAACATTTGGTCTATTGTCATGAGTCTTGTTTTTAGATGAAGATTTCTATTGGAGATCGTTTTTGGCCAGAAGATTTTTAGTATTCTGCGCAGACATTTATTTTGGAAGACATTAAGTTTGTTTTTGATGTAAGATGTCTCTTTCCAACATTCAGCTCCGTATAAGAGAACACTGAGGACGTTACTTCTGTAGATGTTGATTTTTGTCCTGGTATGTATTTGTTTGTTCTTCCATACTGGCCGGAGGATTGCAAAAGCTTGGTTTTCTTTACTGATCCTTAAGTCCACCTCCCTGTTGCAATCTCCATCTGCAGTTACTTTACTGCCCAGGTAAGTGAACTTTTTGACTTCCTTTAGATCTTTTCCATTAACCACAATTGGGGCGTTATTTGTAGTGTTTTTCCTCAGGACTTGTGTCTTTCCTTCGTTTACTTTGAGCCCAATGGAGTTGGATGTTTCATTTAATCTTCCTGTTTTCTCTTGTGCGTCAGTATGTCTGCTTGAGAGGAGCCCCAAGTCATCGGCATAGTCTAGATCTTCTAATACTGTATTGATCGTCCACTGTATGCCTCTTTTTTTATCTTTTGTGACATTTTTCATGAGCCAGAGAGAATAGAAGAGGGGATAAAATACATCCTTGTTTGACTCCTGTGTTTACACTGAACGGGTCTGTCAACATGTTGTTATGTATCACTTTGCATTCAAAGTCTTCATATAGTGTTCTAATAATGTTGACAAAAAATTTTGGTGGAATTCCATAGTGTCTTAATATCTTCCATAATGACTCGCGGTGCAAACTGTCGAAAGCCTTCTCAAAATCGACAAAAACTACGTATAACGGGCTGTTCCACTCTTGTGTCTGTTCCAGTATCTGTCTTAAAACAAAGATGTGATCGTTACACGAACGTCCTTTTCTAAAACCCGCTTGCTCTTTTCTCATAATGGCATCAACGGCTGCTGAAATGCGTTTGAGGATGATGCGGCAGAAAACCTTGCAGGTAAATGATATCAGTGTTATACCCCTCCAGTTGTTGCAGTTCTGTAGATTTCCTTTCTTAGGTATTTTGCAGATAAGACCAGTTTTCCATTTATCTGGTATTTTTTCTGTGTTCCATATTTCCTGAAAAATATCTCTAAGAATTTTGGGAGTTATCTGTTCTTCTGCTTTGAGCATCTCCGCACTTATCCCATCCTCTCCTGGAGCTTTTCCATTCTTTGCCTTCTTTATTGCATCTTTTACTTCCAAGATTGTAATGTCATTCAGATTTATTATATATTTAGGTCCGTGTCTGCCTCTGTAATATTCGGTAATGTTTGTGGCTGTGGTCGATTGAGAATTTCATTAAAATGTTCCCTCCACCTTTCTAGTTTAGCTCTTTCCTCAGTGATGGTGACGCCATCTCTAGTTTGTACAGGTTGGTCCTGGTTCGCGGTGTTGTGACCACATAGCTTTCTTGTTATGCTATACACAGTTTTCAGATCTTTCTTCTGGGCCGCTTGTTCAGCATGTTTGGCGAGTTTATCTATGAACTTCCGTTTGTCTCTCCTTGCTGCCTTTTTTACTTCTTTGTTTTTCTTTTTGTATTGTGTGTTGTATCTTTCTTTGAGCCTTGGTGATTTGGAGCTTAGTAGCTTCTTTTTGGTTTGTTTCTTCAATTAGTCTCCATGTGTTTGTTGTGATCCATTTCGATTTGTTGTTTTTCTTGTACCCAATGGTCTCTTTTGCAGCATGTGTCATGGCTTCGTTAAAGCCGTCGATCGTCATTATCTCTTCAGGCTCGAGAATAGAGAAGCGGTTTTTCAGCGCGATACTAAAATCTTTCTTTACTTTTGGATCTCTTTGGATCATCAAGACTCACTCACCTACTAAATATCAAGACTATCTATCCAAGCCTTCCCAAGTTATCTTGTTGACAAACACACACACACACACACACACACACACACACACACACACACACACACACACACACACACACACATACACACGCAGACGCCCATGAAAACATAACCTTTTTTGCGACGGTAATGAGCACAACGTATAACGGCGTTTTGCCACCTTACTATAACATGGAAGTTTGGCACTATCTTTCTTATTCTTGTTACTTATATATTGAAGTAATGTCTAATACAGTGGAGTTTTGTATAAAGCTAAGAGAGATCCAACAGAGTTTCACTAACCTGGTGACAGAGAAAGATGCACAGAGTCCGATTGCCAGCAATTCAAGGCACGTGAGTCGCCCCATATCACACGGAGTTGCTCGGTCAATATTCCTGTTTAACACGCAGGCTCCAAAAACGCCAGGGCAACCTCCAGTTTCTTCGGTTGAAAATAAAAGAAATAAGAGGAATATTTGCTATCTCTATACCTCTCAGTAAAAAGTTATCAATTACAAATAAAAGAAATATACAACTGAGACAGTAGCTGTGCCGATAAAAGACAAGCGTAGTAAGTTGAGGGACAAATGCGTTTGCATTTTGTCGTTTGAACCCTGAACGTGTTACAGGGGGCAACCTGAATCAATATGCAAACGGCCAGGCTTTGTTTGGCGTTACCTAGACTACAGTATCATTTGTGAGATGTCAACATTATCAAGATAGAACAAAGTTCAGTTTGAAAGTGGCTGGCTCTCTGAGTGGGGGAAACTCCACTAAAGCACTACCAGAATGGCTACTAAATGGTTCCAGCTTGTTATGCTTGCCTGTATCAGCACTATCGTGGTCTCAGTTACCCGACAGGAAGTGTTCGTCAAGGTGATGTGTTGATCTCTTTGTGATTGTAACTGCAATTAAGGCGTTTAATTGCATCCATCGCTGTTTACTCCGAAACCTTTCTCTTTCATTTCCATTCTCTGCGCATTTCGATTCGTCAATTCAGATACGTTCGCAACTAGAATTGAAATTAAACTCGCCCGGTTCTCGCGTCTTCTTCAACCTGATGTAAGGTGTTTTAGTCCTGTTTTAGTTGTGCATTTTTAAAACTTGTTGCATCATCCTACGTCTGCCGGAAGTCGCTCTTTCAGTGCTATAGGAGCTAATTCAGGGGCCATTTGTAATCTCATGCAAAGCGCTGACAGACTTGGAGGAGAAGGAGGAGGCAGGTTTGAAAAGGGGAATAAAGACGTGTTTACTGCTTTTAAAACGTGTGCATGAAACATCAAGATGGATTCTTACAGTTGCTTGGAGATTAGTGTCTTGTTAACCGATTCAATGCTCCCCAAGCCTCATCAGAGATATGGGTTGAAGCCATTCGATACAATCTGAGCCGTTCATAGTCAAAAAAATCTATCAGGTTCGAATACAGAACATACCAAGCACGGTTTTTCTTCTTAAACCTCTTATTATACAGATACAACGAACACAAAGAAATTATATAAATGAGCGTACGAAATGTATTACAATGTCAGTGTCTGGATATGATTTTGAAAACGTCAGACGTTTCAGCTAGTATCCACTAGCTTTCGTCAGTGACTGAGAGACCAGAGGGGAAATGCAGGTTTATAAGCACAACCTATTGATTGATATGCAAATAAAGTGAAGACAAATTTTTTGAAGTCGAAAAAGGAACAAAAGTCAGACAATTCAAGACAAGGTAATGCAAATTAGTCTGAAAGCTGCTGTTATACAGAACAGGAGCTTAAGTGTTGTCTGCTCTCGGGGCTGGGAGCGCCAAATACCAAGTGCCGGAGAGATCGACTCGTAGCCCCCCTTCCCTGTTGAGGGTGGGGTTGTACATTCTTTCATATATTGCCTCTTTAACACCCCGTTCCCACCAGCGTGTTTCGCGGTCTAAGATATCCGTGGACTCGAGTTTGAAAGAGTGACCCTGGTTGTGTTGTAGGTGGTGGAAAATAGCTGAGGAGTAGCCGTTGGCACTAGGTCGGCAATGTTCTTTGTATCTTACTTTGAGCGGTCGACTTGTCTCTCCGATGTACGTGTTGTTACAATTGGGCTCCTCACATTTGAGTCTGTAAATAACATTCGCCTTGGTACCTTTGTGAGGTCGGTCCTTAGGGTGTACCAGTCTTTGTCTGAGGGTTGAGTGAGGTTTGAAGTTAGTGGCTATGTTGAAGTTTTGGAAGATCCGTCGGAGTTTCTCAGATACTCCTTGGACATACGGAATAGTGATGTTGACCTTGTTTTTGTTGGTCAATGGTTTGCACTTCTGGGTTTTCTTAGGCTGATCTGAAGGTTTCAGCGCTTTGTTGAAAGTCCAGTTTTGGTAGCCGCACTTAGCCACGGCACCTCGGAGGTGTCTATGTTCGTCCGTTTTGGCTTGGTCTGAAGTGATAATGTTGTCTGCACGATGGAAGAGAGTTTTGATCACTGCTAGTTTGTGTTCCAAAGGGTGGTGGGAATCAAAGGCCAGGTACTGTTCAGTGTGGGTTGGTTTCCTGTACACTTCGAAACGAAGGTAACCGTCTTCCTCTACGATAGTTTTGGTGTCTAGGAAAGGGAGCATGTTGTCATGGCTTGGCTCCTGTGTGAACTTGATGTTGTCATCTATCTGGTTGATGTGGACAAAGAAATCAGCAGCTACCCTCTTTTTCAATCTGCACCAAGTGTCATCTACATATCGAAACCAGTTGGCCGGGGGAGTGTCATTGAAAGTGCTGAGGGCTTTGTTTTCAAACTTCTCCATGTACAGGTATACAACAATTGGTGAGACTGGTGATCCCATAGCACAGCCGTGCATTTGTTGGTAGAACTGTCCGTTGTAGGTAAAGTATGTGCATCCTAAGCAGAGTTCTAGTAGCTCACAAACTTGGTCAATGGATAGGTTGGTTCTATCTGCAAGTGTATCGTCGGCTTCCAAGGCTTCCCTGAATACTGACACTGCTTCCTTAGGTGGTATGGAGGTGAAAAGTGAGCACACGTCATACGAAGTGATGGTTTCATCATCCTCTACATGAATGTCTTTGATTTTGTTGACATAGTCGGCACTATTCTGTACATGGTGCTGAGATTTCCCCACTAGTGGTCCCAAAATCTTGGATAGAAAACCTGCTAACTCATAGGTGACAGAGCCTGTACTGGAGACTATGGGTCGTAGAGGGACACTTTGTTTGTGGATTTTGGGAAGGCCGTAGAAAGCAGGGGGTTGTTCCGTTGTGGGATTGAGTTTTAGGTAGGTGGCGCGATCCAGAACTCCTTCAGTTTGCAATTTCTTGAGAGCTGTACTGATTTTCCCTTTAAACCTGTTAGTGGGGGTCCTTTTTCAAGGGCATGTAGGTGTCTTTGTCTCCCAATAGGTCCTGTACCTTCCTGTCGTACTGCTCCCTGTCTAAGACTACTGTGCATCTGCCCTTGTCTGCAGGGAGAATCAATATGTCTCGATTGGTGGCCAAATCTTTGAGAGCGGTACGTTCTTCCCGTGTGATGTTACTAGCAGGGGGTTTGGAGACTTTCAGGGTGGTAGCTACTTTGGTGCGCAAGGCTTCAGCTTGTCTCTGTGGTAAACGTGCCCGATGAATTGCTGACTCGGTTTCTGTGACAATGTCAATGCTAGGAATCTTGTTTGGTGTTACTGCGAAATTTAGACCTTTAGAAAGCAATGATTTCTCTGGTTCTGTGAGAGTATGGCTACTTAGGTTTTTTTACCCACCTCTGGTCCGTTTTGGCCTGTGTAGTGGTTTTGGGTTCGGAACTGTTTGATCTCCAATTTGGGTCACTATCTGCTGCGCTAATAGTCTTCTTTTGCTGTAAACGATCAAATTTAGTCTTCTGTCTGTCTTTTCCCTTCTCGTGCTGAGCAAGCTGTCCGCGTGTTATGAACTCCTTAGTTTCGGCAAAAATCTCGTCTGATAGTTTCTCCCTCAGTAGTTTTTCAAGGTTAGATTTCCTCGCGTTTAGGCCGTCCAATTTGTAGTTGATCTGTCTTACCCTTTCGTTTAGTAGTTTTCTTTCCGCGTTGAAGATGATCTTGTTAGCGTTGAAGCCTCTGATGGAAGTTTTTAGGCGTAGGCTGGTGGGTGTGATACTTACCTTGAGGCAGCGTAGACTGAAGCGTAGATGATTCCGGAAATCTGCAATCTTCCTGCTGGTCTTCTCCAGATCCCTCACAGAGCTCAGGCAAAACTTACCGTAATGATCCAAGATACGTCGATGAAGGTTAGACATCCAGGTAATACGATACGCCAAAAAACAGTTACTCAAGCAACTGGATATGATTTTGAAAACGTCAGACGTTTCAGCTAGTATCCACAAAAGTGTTTTTACTTCAATATATCAATACATTCATTAACCCTCCTTCTGAAAGTAAGAATTGTAATTTTAGAGCTGCTGAATGTGCAGTCGAGTTATACGTTTATTTATGTAATCATGTACCCTGAACTTGTAGTTTCGTATGTCAAGATCCCAAAATATACATTAATTTTTGTCATTTATCCCTGTAATTCATAGCTAAACATGTACCAAAATTCATATATTCTGTAACTTCTTTCTAGGTGACACTTCAGAAAGGCGTGCATATGTTTATGGTAATTAAACAAATCAGTCTTTGCATGAATGTAATATTCGGGAACTACATGTTCCGCAGCATAATAGCAAGTGTCAATTCAGTGACAAAGAAATATATTAACCTTTCTTCAATTAAGGTGGAATGACATTTTTTTTAAGTATATAAAGTATAAATGCTCAGTGAACAAGCAATATGCTATCTATCTATCTTACACTTTGACAAATCGAATGTACAAACATGTAGCACTTAGAAATTTATCTTAGGAACTGTAACAGTTGTTTTTTAATAAAGAGTCTCTAGGCATTACTTATACCAAATGATATTGTTTGATATGAGGATACTTGTCTCGTTTCGTCCACAAGATTTGACTTCCAAATGTACATGTAATGTGTCAACACAGCTGCCACATACACAGCTGTTACATTCACTAGCCTATTCCATTCGTCAATGGGACATTCTATATCAATTTCTAATGGGGCTAAACCTTATGATCAATAACAGTTTCTTAGCTTTCATGGTATTTCAAAAAGAGGGATGATTAAATCACATGAAAGGCAACGTTTTAAAACCTTCTTTTGTACATTTTAATATTTTGCATGCTAGCATAATCATTGAAAAATTTAAACGTTCACTATTGAAGATATTATGTTTTACGTGATAGTTGTTACTTTAATTTCTTTGCGATAAAACAGTGGAAAAAAGTATCAGAAAATGCCTCTTCGTCGACGGATTATGCCCAACGTAAGTACTCAAACCTTGTATCACGTATCATGAACGTCAGTTGGAAAGTTTATCTTCATGCGCATGTCACATGCCTGCGTTACTGGTAGAGGTAAATTAGAACTTAAATCTAAATCAGCTAACGCATTCTAGTTGTTTAAATACGGCGATTTGTTAGTTTTTGGTAATTGTGACAGGTGTTTCTATCGTGTCGCTAAGCCAAACCTTACCCTGGTATCTAAAGGCAGCTAACAATGGCAACAAAAACGCAAACTAGCGTATTGTCACCGTGAAGCTGGTTAGGGGAAAGCATCCAACATCACTGGCGTGCTACAGTAGTCTATCTCGATAACAAAGAATGGGCGTATTACTTTCTGTGGCATTCATGCTCCATACATCTCCAAAGGTTGCAAAGCCAGCAGACAGCAGAGACTAGAAGGGTTACAGGACTTAACGTAACAGACTAGTTAAAGGCAACTAATGCAATTTCAGTGCACAGTGAACCAGTAACACCTAGCTTCAGTACTCAGTGAACCAGTAACACCTTGCTTCAGTACACAGTGAACCAGTAACACCTAGCTTCAGTACACAGTGAACCAGTAACACCTAGCTTCAGTGCACAGGGAACCAGTAACACCTAGATTCAGTGTACAGTGAACCAGTAACACATAGCTTCAGTGCACAGTGAACCAGTAACACCCGGCTTCAGTGCACAGGGAACCAGTAACACCTAGCTATAGTGCACAGTGAAGCAGTAACACGTAGCTTTAGTGCACAGTGAAACAGTAACACTTAGCTTTAGTGCACAGTGAACCAGTAACACCTAGCGTTGGTGCACAGGGAACCAGCAACACCTAGCTTCAGTGCACAGTGAACCAGTAACACCTAGCTTCAGTGCACAGTGAACCAGCAACACCTAGCTTCAGTGCACAGTGAACCAGTAACACCCAGCTTCAGTGCATAGGGAACCAGTGCACCTAGCCCCGTGCACAGTAAACCATCAACACCTAGCTTCAGTGCACAGGGAACCAGCAACACCTAGCTTCAGTGGACAGTAAACCAGTAACACCTAGCTTCAGTGCACAGGGAACCAGCAATACCTAGCTTCAGTACACAGTGAACCAGTAACACCTAGCTTCAGTGCACAGGGAACCAGCAACACCTAGCTTCAGTACACAGTGAACCAGTAACACCTAGCTTCAGTGCACAGGGAACCAGCAACACCTAAGCTTCAGTGCACAGTGAACCAGTAACACCTAGCTTCAGTGCACAGTGAACCAGTAACACCTAGCTTTAGTGCACAATGAACCACGAACACCTAGCTTCAGTGCACAGGGAACCAGTAACACATAGCTTTAGTGCACAGTGAACCAGTTACACCTAGCTTCAGTACACAGTGAACCAGTAACACCTAGCTTCAGTGTACAGTGAACCAGTAACACCTAGCTTCAGTGCACAGTGAACCAGTTACACCTAGCTTCAGTGCACAGGGAACCAGTTACACCTAGCTTCAGTGTACAATGAACCAGTAACACGTAGCTCCGTGCACATTGAACCATCAACAACTAGCTTCATTACACCAGTCATAATCGCCCTTATGAAGATGACAGATGGACATCGAAATGTCGGCTCCTGTTAAACAAGTGGTTGTGAATAAAGACCTTTACTATTTAGCACACAAACTAGTGTGTTAGAAACTAACTGACACGTACAAGTATCCATCGTCTCATCTTAGATTGTGCCACATGATTGCTATTACACTTACATTACGGAAACATCGATTTGTATCTTGCAGGAGATTTCAATGCGTCGCAGTGCAGGTGTATCTGCGTGCTACATCATGATCGGAATGACGGGAAAAGGAATGAAATCTACTACACGGCAGCAGTCTCAAAAGGAAACGCCAGTCAACTATTTTTCATATGATGAGGTATTTTCTTTCATTTTCTAGACCTGTTGCTGGTAGTGCAATCAAAACTTATAAATTTGGATCGGCAAGGAACATACAATTTTCACACTCAAAGTTACTGAAACCGGAATGAAAGAGGTAAGAGGACAGAAGATAGAAACAGAAGAAAAATTGTAGGAACAAGATCACAGCCTCTACAATCATTTATTTGACAGGCAATTAATTTACCTATGACCTAAAGTGAAATCAGATCACTGTGTTACTTTTTTTCTATATATTGTATCTTCAATGTGCGCCAAAAACAGTTCCTCAAGCGACTGGATATGATTTTGGAAACGGTCATCGTTTCAGGTACCATCCACTACTTTCGTCAGTGACACTGGGGACTTGTCAGAAAGGCAGGTTTATAATGCCCTCGTTACATTGTCGACGAGTTTCGGTCGTATTTGTTGATCGTCGAAAAGTCGGCGATTTTGAGATCGACTGGGCATCGCACGTATTTTCGGCTTGCAATCGCCCCTTTACATTGAGCGACCGCGAGGCTCGGGCGATCTCTTTGTGGAAACATCTATGGTAATAAAGCCTCTGTGACATGACACGCAGACGAAGTGAGGCCAGTGTTTCCACTGTAAAAAGGAAAAGTTTGAACAAGTTTTATGTTTAAGCAGTCGTTATGTTTTTAGCAAAGACTGGAAAATTTCAATAGAAATACAAACAGGAATTCTGTGATAGACCCAACTCAAATACTACCACAAGAGCCACAAATTCACACTACCTTCTGGTTACGAAAATGACCAACTTTTTTGACTGCATGGGAGTCGGCCGAAACCTCGCTCGACACATGGGCGCAAGCCTTTTGCTGTCTTCTTTCCTTAGTCCATGTCTCATTAACGTCGAAAATGTTACCCCCCCAAAAATGAAAATAGCTAAAAAGAACTCTTGTCTGTCCTCTCTAGTTTTCCTTCTTTTTTTCAATTTGTTATACCCGAGTTTCGGTCGATTTCTAGACCATTTATACAACGCACAACAAAACATAATAATTATAATTATATCACGTGTACCTGTACAAAGCTAATAAGATATACTTTTGCTAACAGCTTTACCTGTATACTCTGTCTAAAATAGTATGAATCTTCCGGTAAACAAGTTTATTTAATAGCCATCAAATGTCAACTAATATATTGCGGGTAAAACGGCAATATAAACTTCAACTCTTAAGTAATTATCTCTCTTTCACATGACGTTTATTGTCCCGCGGCCAGGCACAGTGCCGTAGGACATTGTATAGTGTCCTACCAGAGTTTAATGAGCAGTAAGTAAATAGGGCAAGGTCACATATACATATAAAAAACGACAGCGTTATCGTCCAGGGTGTCTGTTCAGTATCTCAACTCACATTTCCTCCAACTTCTCCCTTTTGCATGTTTTCATCTGTTTTGAAATAGCATCATTTCACATGTCAAGTTCCTTCACCACATGCACATAAAGATCACACTTATCACTAGCAGTGTGTCCAAGTCAGAGAAAATGGCTCAGACACTTGTTTGGTCTGTTACCATGGCAACAATCAGTGTTGAGGGGTTGTGTATCAAGTGTTTTTTTCACTGTGCGAAAATGAGCCAAATCAATTTTGACCGGTGCCAGCGTTGTTTGATCCTTACAAACATTTGCTATGAAGTGTTTACTGCAAAGGCTCGAGTTACGTGTGAGAGAATCGTATTTACAGTAGAGGCAGTATTTAACAGTAGCACAATCTTAGCAACACAAAATTGGGAAAATAAACACATTTTATCTGTGTTAAAAATCCACAATAATAAAAAAAACGTGCACCCAACCTCAATTTCATGTTTGTAATCATAATAAACAAATCATATAATTGCCACCGTGAAAATCGTGATATTATTTTTTATCCGTCTGTGTCTCTCTGTGTGGTCAGCAACTTAAAAAAAAGTCTAAATTAAATGTGAAGATATTTGATGTATGGAGCACGTCGGCAGAACGTACTGAGCCTTCGCAAAACCCCCCATTTTTCACGGTTTTCATTTGATTTTGGGTCAGCGTTGCATCATAGTTTTAGCTGTTGCAGGCGACATTTTTGACATAACATGTGGAAACTACAGGTGGACTGTTAACCTGGTGTACGCGAATACGACCTTATTTGAGACATTCTGCCGAAACGCTACGCACAATACATTACTGCCGACGTGCTGATATATGGTTAGATATTTAGAGACTAACGGTGATGTGTGGGCTCCTGGCGGATGTATTTCGTACTGCAGCTTACCTGTATTTTTAAAAATATATTTCGTCCTGGATCCATGCTAAGGTCTTGATTTTTTAAAAATTTTTCTGGAGTCTGATGAGTCTAATTATAATGCCCGGTAGGTTTATGATGTAATTTTGGAGCTTGTTCTTAGCAGCTTTTTCTGAATCTGCAGGGCTGTTTTTGTTTTAAAAAATCTTTCAAAGAGGGTAATAGAAAAAGCTAAAGAAGCAACAGTTTTTTTTTTTAATTTGGGGCATGCGATTAGTTCAGACAAAGTTTACCCCCGTTAGCCTTGGAAACAAATGCAAAAAAAAAACTATATTTTTCGTATCCAAAATTTACGTTTAACTACAGTTTCTACCCAAATTATAAAGTCAACAGGCAATAACCAAAATTTTATCGGAAGCCGGATGGAAACCTCCGTTGCAATTGACTGATGCAATGAGATTTCCCGGCGTGCTTTTCTTGGCGGAGTTATAGCTCTTCGGTCTGAGGGTGTCCGCCGGATCCAAAATCGTGACGAAAACTCCGGTCCGAGACCGTAATTACAGAATTTCTACTTAATTATGCAAATTTAGCCTTCATTTGCATAATTTGTATTCAATTATGTACATCTTTCTATAAGCTGCCAAACACAAAAAAATGATGAAACTACGTTGTTCCTTTCTAGACTTATCTGCTTTAATTTTTTTTTTACCAGAAACTCCACTACAGTTTCAGAACAAGCTGCTAGTGGGACTAAACTTACACCACTTCTTCCTGACAGGATAAGCTATCTTTCACTAAAAAGTGCCAATAGCGCTTGTAGCATATCTTGGCCCATCTTCTTCTTCTTCGTTTGAAAATTGACTGTTCCATATTAAATTATTCTACCAGTAAGTTGCGCCCCTCAATATCAAGTGTTTCAATGCCCCTATGTCAGTCCCTAATACCCATATACAGTGCTTTTCAGTAAAATATTCTTGAAAACCTGAAACCCCTATACAGCATTCTCAATAACAAGACTGCGCAAACTCTCAAGTAATGATTTTCAGTATATAGGTTGTTGCAATAAGTTTTTCGCAAAATCCGGTGACGCGACTGCCTTGAAATTCCACATAGAACGCAGCTATATTATTTTGGGTAATCAGGCGACAAACCGCATCACCCTTGCTTGCGGACTAATACCAAAAAACGCTTTGCTGGCCGTCCAACTTCACCACGCCGATAAACACTACAGTACCAAGGTTTTTTTTATCAATTCAAAACCTACTTAAAAATCTACAGCGATCACCGAGCTATGAAGAGTCAAACCTAGCGTGACAATCTCGCAGATCCGGCGATTTACTGCGCACTATTTGGAACCCTGGTCAGATTTAAACTCCGACCCGGAACCTTACAGTGTTTTACAGGATAGTACTTCCATACATTGGATGTATGTAATCTATGGCAGGTGAAATATCAACAGATACCAATTATGCAAATAATGACCTAATTTGCATAATTAATGTGGAAATTTTGCGATTTATTAATGGTGAATGATGGAAAGTTCCATATACAGACCACCTAATAGCTCAGTGGAGTTTTACACCATACTAAGAAGATGTCTTGAAACATGGAGCCTGTCTACTCCCAAGTCAGAAATGTATCTACTGGGAGACATGAACATAGATGTCAATCAGTCCTGTAGCTCTGCAGTTAAACACATAAGTAACCTGAAACAGGAATTTCAACTACAACAGGTTATAGACAAACCTACTAGAGTACACCAACACTCAAGTAGTGTGATAGACCATGTGTACTGCAGTGACATGCACAGAATAAGTGATTACGGAGTGGTACACTGTACAATCTCTGACCACTATGCAGTATACTGTACTAGAAAGGCAAGGCGCCCCAAGTCAGCATCTAAGTATGTAACCTCCCGTAAATTCACACACTTCCAGGAAGACAGTTTCCTGACTGACTTGAGAGCCCTTACTTGGGACTCTGTCCTACAGGCTACTGGGGTCGAGGAGGCTTGGTCTCTTTTCAAGTCTCTGTTTATCACTGTTAGCGATGTACATGCACCATATATTTGTAAACGAACAAAAATTATCCAACCCAAATGGCTGACATCTGACATAAAAAGATTAATGCTAGTCAGGGATGACCTGAAGGCTAAGGCACGGAAATCAGGGGAAAGCAAAGACTGGGAGGACTATAAAGCCAAACGAAACTATGTAAATAAGAGAGTTAGACTGGCCAAGACCAAGTATTGCCAGCAGAAGCTGGAGGAAAATACAGATCCAAAGAAACTATGGAGCACAATCAAGGAAGTCTTACCAACTAAGACACAGGCAACTACTAACTCTCTGAAATGGGAGGGAAAACATATTACAGACCTCCCTAACATCACAAATTGCCTAAATCAGTTCTTTGTAACTATTGGCAACAAACTGGCAGTGAAGTTCAGAAAACAAGCTGACCCCAAGTGCCCTACTAGATATAAAAATCTGAAAGCTACCTTTCAGTTTAAGCAAATAAGTGAAGTGGCAGTATATGATAAACTAAAAGCACTGCAACAAAATAAAGCAACTGGTCTGGACAAGATACATGCTAGGCTCCTGAAGGTAGCAGCACCAGTATATGTAAGCCACTAACACACATATTCAATTTGTCTCTCTCAACTGGTCACATTCCCGGAGACTGGAAGACAGCAAGGGTCACTCCAATACACAAAGGGGGGGACACAGAAGACCCAAACAATTACAGACCCATATCTGTTCTACCTATCATCATGAAGTCTTTTGAAAGAGAGGTACACACACAATTCCTCAAATACCTTCATGAACACAATATCCTCTCCACCCAGCAGTCAGGTTTTAGGCCAGGACACTCTACAGCAACAACCCTACTAGATGCTAAGGATCACGTACTTCACAACATGGACAAGGGTAACCTCGTGGGGGCAGTATTCCTGGATCTAAAAAAGGCTTTCGACACAGTACACCACAGACTATTGCTAATGAAACTGTCATGGATAGGAATACAGGGTAAGGAGCTTCACTGGTTCTCAAACTACCTGTCAGACAGACAACAAATTGTTTCTCTGAATGGTATCAATCAGATTACTACCTGTTACACTGGGAGTGCCGCAGGGTTCCATATTGGGCCCTCTACTTTTCAATATATTCATAAATGACTTGCCTGAAGCTGTCACCACATGTAAGGTATGCCTATATGCGGACGACACAGCAATATTTTGTGCCAATAAGAATGCTAAACACATCGAGTCGACACTGAACGCTGAACTCACTGGTCTGGCCACCTGGTTCCAAACAAACCGCTTAACATTAAACATATCTAAGACTAAATGGATGCTTTTTGGTACGGCAAATAGGTTAAAACATACACCAACACTGGAACTCCAAATAGACCAGGAGATCATTGAACAGGTACTAACGTTTAAATACCTGGGTGTCAACCTCGACTGCCACTTAAACTTTAACGAACATGTGGATAAAATGTGCAGTAAAGTATCTCAGAGAATTGGACTACTTGGTAGACTTAGACCCTGCCTCACTATCAATATTGCTGACAAGTTATATAAAACAATGATTCTGCCTATACTCGACTACTGCGACATAGTGTGGGGGAGCTGTGGGGCCACTAAACTACAACAACTACAGATACTACAGAACAGAGCAGCTCGAGTGGTGCTTCAACGCAGACTACGTGACTGCAGCACTGAGAGCCTCCACCAGACACTGAACTGGAAGTACCTGGTCGATAGAAGATTTGAACACACTTGTGTGATGGTATTTAAATGTTTGAATGGCCTGACTCCAACTTACCTATCTTCTACTTTCTGCCATAATTACCATCTTCATACTTATAACACAAGACAGACTACTAAGCTACATTTACCTAATTACACTAGCACAGCAGGTCAGCGAACATTTGCTTACACAGGTACAAGTTCTTTCAACAAACTGCCGGCAGACATAAGACAGATCCCAACCCTGAAACGCTTCAAGGCAGCTGTTAAACAGACCTCTGACCTCCACTGATTCAATGATTTGTATATTTTTGTTCAGTTGTTTATATGTTTATATATGTTAACTTTTCAGTTATACTGATTTTCAGTTATACTGATTTCTGTTAACTTTTGTTACTTGATTGTATAATTTACTTTTATACAATTTGCTTTATGTTATGTTATATTTGTTTGTGACCCTGGGCCCTCTTGAAAATCAGCAATATTATGCTGTAGAGGCTACCCAGGTGTTTACAAGATGAAATAAATAAATAAATAAATAAAGTTTATTCCTTGTGGCAAGTGTAAGCTACTTAAAGTTTAACATTACTATGCATATATTATTTTACTGTAGATGTCATTTGCATAATTAATGAGGACATGTTGAAATAGGGGAGGAAGGGGACCTTCCCGGTGTGAGTGGTTCAAACCTTACAGTCTGGTCTCAGGTTTGACATCTTTGAAGGTGACAGTCACCTGTTATGTCAATCCTTCCACAAATGTGCTAAATCATCATAAAATTTAAAAAAAAATAATAATATAAAAGAAATGGAATATTGCCAAAGGATAGAAATTCCTCATGCAAAATTATGTGAATTGCGTTTAGAATGAGACAAATCCCCCCAATTACAATTTTACATAAACTCTGCATATTTCATGGTATGAGGTCTCCGAATTCTTGTTGTAAATTGAATCGAGAAGATGAATGAAATCGATTATGTTAATACGGCCTTATTGTAGAATTAATAAAACGAGATAAAACAAGGAATTTACGCTAAGAATATCTCACTGAAGTTTTGTTTTTGGTACCTTTGTGTGCTATCTGTATTCCATATGCTCGGTACGTCAAAAACAGAGTTACAGGACGCTGGAAGTTGTATAAGAGATAGTACAAGACTGGAGTAGTTTATTTGGCCCTGGGATTAGGTTTGAAACTGCTTAAGAGGTCAATTTGCAAAATTATGTTTTAGTATCGGTGTGATTTGGGACCGTCCAATATCTATTCAATCTTACACGCGTGATTTTGGAACAGTAATTTTTTGAATGGAGGATTGATGAAAAGTAGTATATCCTTTGGCTTGCAAATAGTGTAGAGACATGTCTATCATTGTTGTCTTGCAGAAGATGACGATATACAAGCCTGCGACATTGATCCTAACACACAACAACATGGCAGTCCTAGACGTGGAAACACAGACAAATGTCTTATGGTTCTGCAGGGATGCGACTCAATACCTTGTCATCAATGAAGGGAAGTAACTTAAATTATACACTTTTTACACCATTCGTGTCATTTACAAGATTAAGATGGTCAGTAGTTGTCAATCAGTAACTGCAGTAAATACTAAAATCTGACTGAGGAGGTGTTCATGGTGCTATATATCGGAACTATATGTCATAAGGCCTGGATATTTCCTATAACCATCGATTGGATACCTTTAAGAGGTTGTTATAGGAAATGGCCAGGCCTTAATGGCATCATATACACCCAGGAACGAGCAGGTCATTATATCTATCTATCTATCTATCTCATATCATCGTCGTTCGTTATTTGTACCTCTACACCATGTAACCCTTGCCCCAAGATCCATCAAACAATAAAAAGGCACCTTTAAACACGACATATCAAACTCGGAAAGGTCGCTGCAGTACCTCGGAAAGGCGCTAGAATGCCCATTATTGAACTTGACCTTCGTACTCCCGAGTTCCTCTGAGGCACGCGAAGGCTTTGTACGGTACTGCAACAGTGTTCAAGTTTGATGATGGGCATTCTAGGGTGCTATAGCGGCACTTCCGGGTTTGATGTTTCTGTATATAGTGGCTTGGCATCTAGGTCAATGTATTTTAGTAGGCCATGCCCTTACCCAACAGATGATAGCAAACCTGGGGATTGTGGCCACATGCCCTAAATGGACGATTTGTGCGTTATGCAACAATAGCTTACATAACTTGCATAACACATGCCAAATAAATACCAAAGTTAAAGGAGATTTCTTTGGTTATATTCTCCTTGTCCCTTCTTTTTGTAGGGAAAAGTCACGTGGGAGTAGATGCAGAGATGCAGAGATTCAGCTTTGGGCTGGCATGGATGACTTTTGACATTTTTTGCCATTTCTTGTGCCCCGAACCCCCACCACCAGGTTCGTACATATTGCAAAACCTTGTGTCTACTCAGTGTTAGCTGCAGAATCTACGCATGGTTTGCTTGCTTTCTCACCTCGTTAGAGGTACATGTAGCTACTGGTTTCCTGGCTCCCTTGTACATGGTAGAGATGTTCTTATGAAAAATCAATTCTCTTGTAGCAAACCTAAACATTCACAACTTTAGGTTTAACCCTACCTAGACCGGGGGGGGGGGCTAAAAGTGCCCGCGGCAACTTTGATGTCACCTAGCGTCTGAACGGCTGGCCGTAGAACGGCCAAACTTGGTAACTTTTCCTAGAATATTGTTGGCAACAATTCTCTATCATTGGAATAAGATAATAACGTTTTGTGTTGCCATGGCAACGGGTTTCTGACAGGAATTTTTTGCTAAATTTAGTACTTTTTGTTTCAACAATAGAATTTTATGGGTTTTATGTCAAGTAACTCATGGTTTCTAAAATTAATAACATCCCATATAATTGTATGTAAATTTTATCATTAAATATGCATAATTTATGCTAATTTGATGACGTCATTGGCCAAAATCCAAGATGGCGGACCATATCATTAGAACAGGTATATACAGGTTTTTTCATTAAAATTTCATCAATACTTCCATTTCTTTTTCCAAAAAAGGTTTAAATGAAGGTCTTTAGTATGTTTACAATGTATTTTAGGCTTTATCATGAAAAAAAAACTATTTTTGAAAATTCAAGATTTATGATCCAAGATGGCGGATATCTTAAATATGCATGACGTCATCTTATGACGTCATCAGTGTTGCTATGGGCAACATAAGACTTAGTACACCATAATATTCTGTCATAAACACTTTTGGTACAGTTATGTTGAATACCATTTAGTTTTCAGAGAAAAACCTATTTAGACGGTTTTGGCCAATAAAATCGCATTAATGACGTCATAATGACGTCATATTACGTCATAACGACATTAAAATTGTAGATATGATAAATCTTCACTAGTACACCATTCTCTAGAAAATTTGGTGGTCATACGACATACCGTTCGCGAGTTCGTTAGGGGGGTACAAAAGACGCCCCCCCCCCAGTCCCCCCCATGTCAAAAAAAGCCCGGTCTAGGTAGGGTTAATACCGGGACTATTACCTTTCGAATGACACCAAATTTGACCTTCTGGTACGTCCGGAAAGGCTTAACCCTAATCCTACCTTAAGACTGCCCTTAAAACTTTAAACACTTATAAATGGAAAACCAAAAAAGATAAATGCAAACGGTTTGCAGGAAATTTTTAC